CAAATTGCATTTTTTGCTGTTTTCTGCCATGTTCCCCCCTTCTTTATTTTTATATTTTCTCAACACATTTTATACTTTATTCTCAATTAGTAGTAAGTTTTAGTCTTTAGTGTTTTTCCTGCCTGAAACGCTTTGCGTAATAGTGGCTTTAGGCATTGTATGTACTAGCTCTATCTATAAACTCATCAATATTTGTATGACACCTTGTATGTATGTACTTTACCTGAATAAACATTTGAATTTTTAATTTGAATTTATATATATATATATATATATATATATATATATATATATATATATATATATATATATATATATATATATATATATATATATATATATATATATGTTGTACCTAGTAGCCAGAACGTCGTACTCGGCCTGCTATGCAAGGCCCGATTTGCATAATAAGCCAAGTTTTTCTGAATTAATATATTTTCTCTAATTTTTTCTTATGAAATGATAAAGCTACCCATTTCATTATGTATGAGGTCAATTTTTTTTATTGGAGTTAAAATTAACGTAGATATAGGACCGAACCTAATCAACCCTACCTAACCTAACCTAACCTATCTCTATAGGTTAGGTTAGGTTAGGTAGCCGAAAAAGTTAGGTTGTCGAAAAACAAATAATTCATGAAACTTGGCTTATTAGGCAAATCGGGCCTTGCATAGTAGGCTGAGAAGTGCGTTCTGGCTACTAGGTACGACATATATATATATATATATATATATATATATATATATATATATATATATATATATATATATATATATATATATATATATATATATATATATATATATATTTTATATATAACAGAAAACTCACACCCCAGAAGTGACTCGAACCCATACTGCCAGGAGCACTATGCAACTGGTGTACAGGACACCTTATAACCACTCGACCATCACGACCGGACAAAAGATGATGGTAGCCAAGGCTATTTCCCCATCATCCCACTGGCACTCTGGTGGTAATCTTGAACATAGTATTTTATCAAATCACCTCATTCCTATTAAGGTGTCCTGTACACCAATTGCATAGTGCTCCTGACAGTATGGGTTCGAGTCACTTCTGGGGTATGAGTTTTCGGTTGCATATATGCCTTTGGACCATTCAGGCTTGTTTGCATTTGTATTCCTCACGTGTCCCAAAGAATTGAGGTGTTGAGAACTTCAAGTGTTCTCCCATAGCCCTGAGAGAGAAGTCTACGCCGGGCAAATACAGGCTCCTGCACAACCTCAGCTACCCCTATACCTCCGAGAGCGTGAACGACAACATCCCGCGGGAGACGACAACAGTGACCTACCAGTCCATCAACGACGCGGTGGCCTTGGTGGTCAGACGGTCGCCGGGGGCGCACTTGGCGAAATGCGACATAGCAGAGGCGTTCCGGATCGTCCCGGTCAACCCCAGCGACTACCACCTACTCGGCTTCGCCTACGGAGGGCGGTACTACTACGAGAAAATGCTCAGCATGGGGGCGGCACCCTCCTGCAGGATCTTCGAGACGTTCTCCAACGCCCTGCAATGGATCCTCGCGGAGAAGTTCGGCGTGCGGGATGTCGTGAAGGTGCTGGACGACTTCCTCTTTGTGAGTTCTACCTACAACGAGTGTTTGCGGAGCCTACGGGTGTTCACTGCCCTCTGTGAGCGCTTAGGCGTTCCACTGGCCCCCCCCCCCCACAAGACTGAGGGCCCCCGCCCCTGCCTCACCTTCCTTGGACTTGAAATCGACGCCCGACGTATGGAGACAAGGCTGCCGGACGACAAGAGGACGAAGTACATGGCTGCAATGGAAGACGCTCTGCGGGCCGAGAGCCTTCCCCTGCGGGACCTGCAGGGGATTATCGGCAAACTGCAATTCGCCACGTCAGTCATACCGGGGGGACGGGCCTTCCTCCGACGACTTCACCCGCTCACACGAGGTGTACAACGTCCCTCACGCCTCTGCCTGCTGAACGCGGAGGCGAAGCTCGACTTGCGAGCCTGGCAAACTTTCCTCGGCGCATTCAATGGGAAAACGGTTTTTCCACCAGATGGTGGATGGGGGAGCGCCACGGCCCTCGCGATGTGTGCGGACGCCTCATCCGAGGGTTACGGACTCGCACTCGGAGAGACCTGGTTCAGGGGTACCTGGCCTATGGACTGGAGCCAGCTCAACATTGCGCTCCTCGAACTTTACCCGTTCTACATGGGGATATCCATCTTTGCACCAGTGTTAGCAAACAAGAGGCTTGTGTGTAGGTCCGACAACGCCGCTGTGGTAAACGTGCTGCAGTCGCTGTCCGCCAGGTGTCCCCTCCTCATGCAATTGGTCCGGCCACTGGCAATCCTCCTCCTCACCCATAATATTACGCTTCTTCCATCACACCTCCCGGGCAAGTTAAATGGGGTTTGTGACGCTCTTTCCCGGTTGCAAGTACTGCCGCCCTCGTTCCTGCGAGACGCAGGACTCGCCGAGAAGCCACCCGCAATCCCGCAGCACCTCCTGCCCTGCAACTTCACCCTGAAACTGTAAGGACGCTACTCGACTCCCTGCAGCCCGCGACACGGTGAGCGTATCAACATAAGTGGGCGGAGTACGTGGCGTATGTATCGAACGACAGGAGACGGGAGTGCCCCTTCGAGGCCTCGTCCACGACACTGGCGAACTTCCTGCAGTCGCTGCTGTCTCGAGGTCTGGCTTTCCGCTCTCTCAGCGCCTACCTTGCGGTAATCGCCTTCATGTTGAAGCTGCATGGTAGGGAGGATCCTACTCGCCAGTTCCTAGTCACACAACTACTTAAGGGAGCGCGCAACAAGGCCCAACGGCTCCCCGCACGACGATTGCACGTGACCAGACGACTACTGCATCGACTACTGGGGGCCCTGCGAGGTGTCTGCCGCTCGACTTACGAGAAGACCTGCTACCGAGCGCTCTTCTCCCTCGCCTTCTACGCCTGCCTCCGGCCAGGGGAGGTGACCTATACGGGGAAGGGGCAACACACGCTACGCTTGGATCAGTTAACTTTATCGCGGACGGGGATCGACATCGCGTTTGCCTCCTACAAGCACAGTGCAGGGCGTACCCCCACTTTAACCCTGAGTGCAGACCCCTACAGCAAGTACTGCCCGGTCCGTGCCATGGCGAACTACATAAGACGACGGGGCATGGAACCAGGACCTATCTTCCTAGGCGAATCGGGTGCCCCGGTCACCAGACAAGATTTCACATGGGTGCTCCGTGCTGCCGTTCGAGCACTAGGCCTGCCTCCAAACGATTATGCTCCGCACTCCTTCAGAATCGGCAGGGCCACGCAGATGTCCAAGGATGGCCTGGCGCCGGCAGCAATCAGAGCAGTCGGCAGGTGGAAAAGTGATGCGAACGTTCCACTCCTACGTCAGGCTAGACGTCATTCCATTACCTAGATAAGTTACTTCTGCGGCCAGCGGGCACCTCGCCCTTCGGGGGGTGGGGGACCGGCTTCGCTGGCCTGCGGAGTGGGGGTGCTGCGCCGGATCCCCAAGTCTAGGGCTGCCCGCAGCTACTTACCATATGTCAAGTGCTCACTTGTAGTGCAAGTTGGGGGTTGCAGACTTTACATGTAAACTAGGCACTAGCATATCATTACCCCTGGAAATTCTTATCTATTCTTTTCTATGCCCTCTGTGTATACAGAATATATTTTATACATATTGTACTGGCTGTGCCACTCAATTAACTCTGGCATTGTTTTTAATTATAGTATTAAGCTGATTGCGAGTACTGCAACATTGCTTCGGCTAGCTGGCACTAGGCACGGTTAATGTCCTACGACTTATTCCCTTAGTTGCATCTTTGCAGTACTGGCATTCTACTCAGTCATGTTACACGACATCTTTAATATTGTGGTACAGCAGTTGCTCTGTAAACATTATTTAATAAATTAAGGTCCCCCCATTCCTGGCTTGTTTTTTCTCCCCGATCAGAATTTGTAATCTTCTTACATTTTGGGTTTTGTCTATTATACAAGTGTTTTTATTCAGCATACATGTCGAATTGTATTTGTGCTGCTTTTTCTGCCATGTTCCCCCCTTTTTTATTTTTATTTTTATTTGTTCTCAACACATTTTATACTTTAATCTCAATTAGTATTAAGTTTTAGTCTTTAATGTTTTTCCTGCCCGAAACGCTTTGCGTAATAGTGGCTTTAGGCATTGTATGTACTAGCTCTATCTATAAATCTATCAATTTCTGTAAAACCTCTTGTATGTATGTACTTAACCTGAATAAACATTTATTTATTATTTATTTATTTACATACTGAAATGCTCTCGAAACATAATCACATCAAACATAAACTAGCAATTAGAAAACGAACGTTTCGTACACTACACGGATTATTCAGACGGTCTGAACACAGATTGTACGTTTCCTATATTAACAGTCTGACAGTATTATAAAACAAAAATGCACGTAAAGCTAAATTATTATGCTTAGTAAATTTACATAATTTAGTTTAAGTATAAATGATGCATGAGCGTGTTAATACAACATATCGTTACTAACCGCGGCCAAGTGGCCAAGATGCGTCCACTGTGTTAGTTTGTTATTTGTGGGAGCCATGTGCTGCTCCTGTACCACGGTGCTTAAAGTCTGTACCACGGCTGGTGTACTCTAGAGCCTATATCATGACTTTTGTACCCTAGAATCTGTACCACGGTTGGTGTACCCTAGAGCCTGTATCACGGCTGGTGTACCCTAGAGCCTGTATCACGGTTAGTGTACCCTAGAGCCTGTATCACGGTTGGTGTACCCTAGAGCCTGTATCACGGTTGGTGTACCCTAGAGCCTGTACCACGGGCTGGTGTACCCTAGAGCCTGTACCACGGGCTGGTGTACCCTAGAGCTTGTACCACGGGCTGGTGTACCCTAGAGCCTGTACCACGGGCTGGTGTACCCTAGAGCCTGTACCACGGGCTGGTGTACCCTAGAGCCTGTACCACGGGCTGGTGTACCCTAGAGCCTGTACCACGGGCTGGTGTACCCTAGAGCCTGTACCACGGGTGGTGTACCCTAGAGCCTGTACCACGGGCTGGTGTACCCTAGAGCCTGTACCACGGGCTGGTGTACCCTAGAGCCTGTACCACGGGCTGGTGTACCCTAGAGCCTGTACCACGGGCTAGTGTACCTAGAAACCTGTACCATGGCTGGTGTACCATAGAACCTGTACCACTGCTGATGTATCCTAGAGCCTGTACCACGGGCTAGTGTACCTAGAAACCTGTACCATGGCTGGTGTACCATAGAACCTGTACCACTGCTGATGTATCCTAGAGCCTGTACCACGGCTGTGTTCAAGCAACCTCCAGACACGAACAAGTGCAGTTCCAGCAAGTGATTAGCAAGACATTGTAGTACCAAGAATTGAGGTAGGAAAAAAATAAAAATATTTGTATGTCTTTAAATGTAGAAAACGTAACATACGCTATCCTGGGAATCCTGTGTTTGAATCCTGGGAAGGGCAGAAATGGTTGGGCATTTATCCTATCCTCTAATGCCTTTGATTACCTAGCCATACATAGGTACCCGTGAGAGTCGGCTTGTTGTGGGGCTGCATCCTGGGGAGGGTCAGTAGTTCACCTTTGGGGGGACCTTGATATGACCATATGGAACATGTGTTTTTGTGAGTCTGTGTTTACTATTTGTATTTACTATTTGTGTCTTCAGAATCGAGCTGTTAGCTCATGGACCCTGCCTTTCTAACCAATTAATTTTTCCTCTGTTATATCTATTACATATATTTGTCTCTAACACATGCATACACATCCACAGGAAGCAGCCTGTAGCAGCTTCTAACTCCCAGGTACCTATTTACTGCTTGGTGAACAGGTGCATCGAGGTAAAAGAAACTTCCCATTTCTTTCCACCTCGGCCAGGAATTGAACTTGGGCCCTTAGGACTGTGACCCCCGAGCGCTGTCTACTCAGCCGGAAGGCCCCTGTGCGTAATTACCTAAGTGTAATTACTCGAGTGTAGTTATAGAATAAGAGCAATGCTCGTGGTGTCCCATCTTCCCAGTACTTTTTGTCATACAACACTTTGAAAGTACTGTATTGGTAGTTTTGGCCTCCACCACCTTCTCACTTAACGTTTTCCAACCGCCTACCATTGTGTTTGCAAAAGAAAACTTTTTAATATTTTTCTGGCACCTGTGTTTCGCTAGCTTGAATCTTTGTCCTCTTGTTTGTGAATTTGTTGGTTTCAGGAATTCCTTTGTCAATTTGGTCAATTCCTGTTATTATTTTGTAAGTAGTATCACTTACCACATATCACTTCTTTTTCTTTTATCTTCTAGTTTTGGCATGTTTGGGGGCCTGACGACTGACAGCAGGGGGGCCTCATGAATAAGTAATTCGACCTTTGGGGAGGAGGGAACCCTGAAGCCTAACATATATACACTGGCTACCTATCCCCCTGACACAATAAATTGAGGAATTAAATGTGTGCAGTTTTTGTTTGGAGAATGTCTGTTATAGACTGGGATACTGCCCTTGTTTGGTTACAATTGGAATGCTACACAATGTTAATTACAGTACAGGGTATGGTTGAGTGATTTTTATAAAGGCCATGAATTGTACACCATGCATTAGATTTATAGTGTAAATATCTGATCCACTCATTGTCTGCATCCATAGAAATCCATCCTGCTCATAACTAACCAATTTGTTATTTGTGTAACCTTTCTATTACAATTTTGCCATAGGCCTTCATTTATTACATTTACTTTACCAAGTGTAAGAATTACTGTATACAGGCATTAATTAGTGTACAATGTTTGCCATAATTACATTTTTTATACATCATGTAGCAGACCCACTATCTATTGATTATTTATTTGTTTACATTAGTCATTTAAAAAATTACTTTTTTTTTTTTTTAGGTTTTGCTACCATGGCTATTTCACGTCGAAATCTGAAAAAACCACAAGTTGTGGAAGAGGAGTCAGACTCGGAGCTTGATGAAGATAGTGAAATGGAGCCAGAAGATGATGAGATGGAAGTGAACGATGATGTGAAGAACATCAAGCAAGAGGTGGAGGACGACGACAGTGACGACAACAATGAAACTGCTAAAGAAATAAAAAGAGAGATACCTGATGAGAATGATATGGAGGATAATTGTGAAACAGATGATAGTAGCTCAATTGAGATTAAAGAAGAGGATGAGAGTGATATAGACTCTGAGGAAATTGATGATGACCTTAAGGGCACGCCAGAAGCTGACCAATCTGCTGAGACTGGTCCAGTAAAGAGTGCCATGAAAAGTGTCAGATTTGTGCAGGACCACAGTGATGAATCTGAGATGGATTCTGTTGATGATATTGATGATTATGGCACTGATGAAAGTGAAAAAGAAATTGAAAGTGATGAGGAGAATAACAAAGAAAGTAGTGGTAAAGGCCTGGCAAATGTAATGGCAAAGATTCTAGCAACGAAGAAATCTAACAATGTGATATTATCAAAGGCAAAGAAAACAAATAAAGTGCAAGAGAAGGCTGAAGATTCAAGCGATGACAATTTTGAGATTGTAGATGACAGTGGAAAAATAAAGAAAGAACCAGACATCAAGGAAGAGAAAGAGGAACAAGAGGTTCCAGAATCACAACATAAGCGAGAACTGCAGGTAAGTGTTAGCTGTATGGTTTAATAGTAAATTATACCTTTTCCTGCCTCTGGTGATGTATTCTGAAAAAGGCTGTGTAAAGTGAATGTGAAAAGTAAACTTTTTTGCATAGTACTGATATAGTAAAAGGGTGGTTAATACTAGGTAACATAAGATGCCCTTGAGAAAATCAGTAGAAGCCATGATGAGGATTTGAACCTATGCGCTGGATGTTCTCGGGCACACACTCTAGACATGGTAAAAGGATTGCAATCTGGGGTACTACTGTACCCATGAGGATTCCTTGAAGCTTCCACTGAAGCCAAACCAGGGTTTCACACAGTCTCCCCCATGCACTCTGGCTCTGTCATCTAGGAATGTTCTATCTCTAATGCTCCTCTTTCAATACACAGAATATTCACACTAATATGACTGCATCAAGGAGAAAATCCCTAGGGGCCACGATGAGGATTCGAACAATGAGTTTGAATCCTCATCACGGCTCCTACGGATTTGCTCATTGATACAGTTACGTTAGTGTGATTACTCTATGTATAAGTTAGTTTGTTCCTTCCTCTTCAATAAATACTCTTATTACCATCAGTGAATCAGTGACAGGTGACATTGGGAATAGTGTCTGGGAGGAGCCCCTTGGTAGCTCGCATAGTTACACATTGGCATATTTGTCAAACCAGGAATCGTCAGAATCTGGTTCACTCAATAGAGGGAAAGTGGAGTTGGGGGATTTAGGATCACCACAGTAATCAAGAGAAAAGACCAGAATGGTAGAGTGCACTAAAATACACAACTGCATGAATCACTGTTGCAATGCTAACCTAACCTTAATTATGTGAAAAATGCTGAGCTACTGGTTATACCACTCACTCGCTACCAGATGGCAGACTCGGCTCCATGCCTTCTAGTCTTGTGTGGTGTTATATTTGTGTGCAGATTTGGAACTGGTCATAATAGTTTCTAAGTGTAATTATTATGTATCTCCAGCACGCACTCTTGGGAATACAGTTATAAAATTTTTAGACGGTCCCAATAATTTACTGTTTTTTTTTAGTAGATTCTAATGGTAAAAGATCTTTGCTTGCTCTCCAGGTCAGCAGTTACTCCAGCTTTGAAAGGGGGCTGTTAGTGTGCAACAATATTTCACTAGAGAGCACTAATGTCTTAAAAAAAAAAATTTCATCATTGGCATGGCATCTCTGTTTTGGAAGGTACTTGTTATTCAACCTGTCATTTATCTTGGAGATGTGACTGTATAACTTTTTTTTTTATATATATACGAGTTCTTACATTCCTGTAAAGCCACAAGCATGCATAGCATTTTAGGCAGGTTTTCGATTTTAATTTTCCCTGGAATATGACTCGCTAAATCATTTAACAACAAGGTACCCATTCATTGCTGGGTGAACAGAGGTGTACAGTTGGCGCCTAGTCACTCCTCTCCTGCTAGGATACAAACCCAAGCCAAATCATTTGCAAAATGGTGGCTGAATGTGTTGCCACTTTGCCATGGGGCCCATGTTCTAGAAAAGTGAGATCTTCAGACATGATTACTCCTAAATGCCTTTTCTTTTCACATTGCCTTTTTTTCAGTGTGTTTTATATGTGGTTTCTGCTTTGATAGCTTGTTTGACATCTAAGACCATGTCATAGTGGTCTAGCAATTTGAGAGGCCAGAGAACCCTGTTCTGAATCCATGTTGCCAAGGGTTATATAGACACTGATCTCATGTGTTTTGTGATCTTAGCACACTTTCAAAGATTTTTATGATGTGCGATGTTATAGCTATTGGTCTATAATTTTTTTGCATGGGCTTTACTACCTCCTTTGTGAAGTGGCGCGATCTTTGCCGTTCTAAGTATGTCAAGGATAACTCCAGTATCTAGGCTGTCTCCAAAAGATGTTTAGGGCCTGTGATAGTTTTTTTGGCAAATTCTTGATGAATATAAACAAATCCACAAGGGCCGTGACGAGGATTTTATGTAATGAATATAGAACTCCAGGAATCTGGGCCTGGTACATAATGTTGTCTATGGCTACTTCAGAGTTGAATGGGGTTAGGGTAACGTCTGATATTTGGTTTGATTGTGGTTCACATTCATAAAGAATTTGTTTGGCTCATTGATCTGCAGTGTGTTCATGGGTTCACTGAAAACAGAAATTGTACACTAACCTCAGTATTTCACTCATTTCTTTCCTGTCATCTGTGAAGGTTCCATCATCCTTGCACAAGAGCCCTATGCAGAATGTAGTTTTTGTTCTAGAATTTGCATTGGAGAAAAATTATTTTGAATTTCTCGTATTTTTGCTTATGGACTTTTGCTCTCCTGGATTTTATATGATTCTTGCAACTTTAACTCAGCCAAAATAAATTGTCATCCACACTTCTGTGGAAATAAATATTTCATTTAAGACTCCTCAATAGCTCAGTCGATAGAGCTTCGGCCTCACACGCGCGGGCTCTGTTGTTCGGGTCTCCAAGGGTCCAGTTGAACGAAATTAACTCAATCGTTTGTACTTCTCCACATAGCCCTCTTTGTTATTCCTGGGATAGAGTTGAGCATTTGGATAGAGTTGGGGGGCCTCGTAGCCTGGTGGATAGCGCGCAGGACTCGTAATTCTGTGGCGCGGGTTCGATTCCCGCACGAGGCAGAAACAAATGGGCAAAGTTTCTCTCACCCTGAATGCCCCTGTTACCTAGCAGTAAATAGGTACCTGGGTGTTAGTCAGCTGTCATGGGCTGCTTCCTTGGGGGTGGAGGCCTGGTCTAGGACACTAAACTAGGACCGGGCCGCGGGGACACTAAAAAGCCCTGAAATCATCTCAAGATAACCTTAAGATAAGATTTGAGATGCTCTGCAATTTATTTTCGTCGCCTATAGAGGAAATGCCATTCTCATTCCAGTTGCCATCTTTTTCTTTCTCTCGTTAGTGGTATGTGACTTGCACATATTTCTAGTGCAACTGTGCCTATATTCTCAAAGCAATGCTTTAAATTTGCATTACCTAGCTGTCTTTCTCAGCATATTTCTTTGAGTGCTTGGTTTATTTGTTCCTGGTCAATCTGTTTATTACTGAAATTGAATTTGCCGAGTTCTCTTGGATTTGAGACTGACTGCATAGGTCTATTACCAATGCATGTCTGAACTTATATTAGATTGTGATTTGAGTAACATGCATTTGTAATAATTGTGTGTCTAAATCAGTTCATTATTGTAAAAATAAGATCTAAGTCATTTTCTTTCCGAGTTGGTTCTACTATTTGCTGGTTTAAAGCAAATCTGACACACATCTGCAAGAGGTCATGTGTGTGTGTGTGTGTGTGTGTGTGTGTGCTCACCTACCTATTTGTGCTTGCGGGGGTTGAGCTTTGGCTCTTTGGTCCCGCGATGTGTGTGTGTGTGTGTTACTGTTCACTTAAACTGCTTCCTGGGATTCTCTCTAGTACAGTATAACTGTATTTGCCACATTTTTTCCATTTTAGGTACCGTAAACTGAAGTTGCCAAGCAAGGTGATGTTTGGGGTTAGTCACTCCGTATTTGTGGTTTGTGAGGTTTTCTAAGCAGTATTCTAGGTTTGTAAATTGGTCTTTAAACTACTGAGGATTTACATCTAGTGATTTATATACAGGGACAATCACCACATTTGGATGAGGTGTATTTGCATGTAATGAAATGCCTCTTTTGTGTAGGCCTCTCAGTAGCTCTTCACTCCCACTCTACTCTTTTTTCCTGAGAGTCCGAGGATTATGCATGAGGGTGTTGAATGAATGAAGTGGATGTCATCCTGGATTCTGAAGTGGCCAGAACTGTCATCTGGTGAGTGAATGATACAAACCAGTAGTTGGGCCCAAGTAGAAATTATTTACATAGGGTCAGTATTGCAAATGTGATGAAGTTGTTAGTTTCAGTGCACTCTACCTTTCTAGTTTTTTTTTTTTTAACCTTGTTGCTATGATAATCTTAGGTCTCTTTACTCCCCATTTCTTCTATTAATTAAGTGAACCAGATTTTGGTTCTGGTCCAGTAGGTACTCGTGTATTGTTAGAGCCTGATGTAGGGCTGAAGTGAAGGTGTGACAGGTATACAAGTGTGTATCTTGGAGAGCTACCGAGGGACACACCAGTTAGAAACAATTAATTACTTTCACTGCTGATATTATTTCCACTGAAATGGAAATAATAAAACACGTTTTGTTGAAGAAATATGGAAATTATTCGGTGTTCATTTTGTCAAAACCATTGCCTGAAGTAATTTATATAATTTCAGAAAAAAATCTGGGAAAACAGGTTTCGAGTGAAGCCGAATATAAAAGATGATCGAGAGAAAGAGAGACGATTAAGAGTGCTAGCCACACAGTGAGTATATATTAATGAACCTGTAACTAATGCACAAGCTTGTATAGTTTGTGCAAATACTCACATTACAATATGTGATTGTGTGTATTTACTTGTACTCTAGCATGCAAAACATTCACTTGTACTTCCTTTAATGTACCAAGATTTGTACATTAAAATCTGTAAAAAATCTTTGTATTAACTAGAGCTTAGGATGAGAAAAAAGGTAACTTCTAGAAAAATATTTTTAAGGACTGTAGTAGTGCAGTCTCCAGTTAGTGCAGGCATTTTAAATTGTTAAAGTAATAGTTCAGGAAAGGGAAAGAAAACTAATGTCAAATCAAATACATTACATTATTTTATTAAATACTTTCACCACAACAGGGGTGTAGTACAGTTGTTCAGTGCCATTGAGAAACACAAAAATCTGGTTCAGCGGAAACTGTCAGAAACGCGAAGTATTATGGGACGTGAGAAAGTGCTGGAGACGACGGGGAAGGAAGCCTTCTTAGAGGTGTTAAGACAACAAGGAAAAAAAGTGAAGACACCTAAGGAAGAAGAGTCTTTTAAAGAGGTAAGTACTATGATGTGAGTACAGTACTATGGGCATTTTCCCCAGTAGCTTCCTTGGTTTATCCACTGGCTCCACAACACCACGTATTCTTAAGACTACTTGCATACCGATTAGGGCTTTTGCAATTTCCCCATGTTTCCTTTACAAGCTGGGGAGCTCATGGGGAATCAGAGGTCAATTCACTAATGAGGAACTGTCCAAATCAGTAAAAGGGAGGTAACAAGACAACCAAGTTTACCCTGAGAAATATTTTTGGGGAAGTATTGAACTACCAAAACAAAACTGAAAACTAGTAAACCAGTGTGCTTCCTTTCATTTTGGGTCCTAAGTTTACTAGTGTACATATTTCTGGGTTCATCCACTTCTCGAGTGGCTATCCAGCCCCCCACCACAAGGCAGGTACCACCACAGGTTGTGTCAGAGGCTATGTTGGTTGTGATTGGTTGTGGGAGCCTGCTCCTTCTGCCTTTATCTTGCCATTATTCCTGCTGAGGAGACTGAATCTTTGACTCCTGAGGATGATCTGTCTTGCCTGGCCTATCTACATGTTCTTTTCCTAGCTGTTCCATGCATTTGGGAATGGCTGAAAAGGCATCTTGATTTCCTTTTAGTCCATCCTGGAGTTCAGTTCGTAGGGTAAAAAAAGTTAAAAGGGTGAAGGGCCTTTTTTCCTAGGGTGTTGTGTGGGAGTCTGCCCACACAACCCAGATGACCTGAGAGACCCAGGGCTTGGGTCTCTCAGGGTCTATCGCATATCAGTCCAATAGCACCAGGGAGCCTCTGGGACTCACCCAAAAAATGGCATTTCATTACATTCGACACTGTTTTTTTTGCAGTCTATGAAAAGTTCCACGTTTAATGCTCTCTCTTTATACATTCGTTCTGGTGTGCCTTGCTCCATGGCATGGCTGTTTCCAATGATTCACTGGGTCATTAAGTTTAGTCAGCCTACACATGCACTCATATCATCGGGGAATGTGCTGCTTTAATGGCAATCTTCTCTATTACAGTATGCTAACATGTGGGCCCAGTGGTTTTGGTGGCTCACTACCTGCTGTCAGTGAACTGTGACAGCAGGTAGTGTCTGAAGTATGCCTTCCAATTTCTCATGGGACCTACTCTCCGGGTATCTTTTGATCGAGTTAGTTCTATTCTGCCTTTTGCCTTCTTTTAATGATTGTGTGTTTTCTGGGGCTGGTTGTGACACTGGTGCTTGAAAGTAAAAAAGAGGTGGGCACTTGGTGGGGGCCAGCAGTGATCAGTCTCACTTGTTGGTGGGAGGGAGAACTCACCATGTACACTTTAATAATAATTTTTAGTTTTTTGTTTTGTACTTTCCCAAGACATTTCAAGGATGGAATTTGTTTTGTGGCCTTTTTTCATTGGTTTGGGCTCAGTATTGGACTGATACCCATGAGATCCCTTTCTCGTAGAGGACAAGGGAAGTTAGCAAAGACCCTTGTCTTCGGTAGGCGGTGAGTCTCACAAGTACCAGGCATTGTCAAGTCAGATCAGTAATGGCTAATATCCTAGAGAAACTACTGAAGAGAACGCAGAAAGTGAGTGATAAAGATTTATGTTGTCTAGTTGGAAATTGTATATCTTTGTGAGAAAAGACAAAAAGTGAATGTAGACAAAGTAAAGTTACGTTGGTGGAGAACTGTGTGTGAAAATGAAAATGATGAAATGCTGGAAGTGGGTAATTAATTTGAGTGCAAGTGCAGATGTTGGTAATCTGCAAGATAGAGCATATTGACATGGTATATGCATTTTGAATCAATGGATGTTGGGTAGATTGGTGAAGAGTTTATTAACACTTTCGCGCTCTCGGCGCTCAAAAAAAAAACAATACCCCAGATGCTTTCGGCACTTCGCGTGCCTACGCGGTAAGACCGAAAAAGTGTACACTCTTTTGACTGTCCTGACAATAATTGAAGGTGTACGTATTTAAATTTGGTATCATTGTGTTCACAATGAAATTGTCTATAAGAGCATACCTATAAAATGCCGCCCAAGCATAAGGAGTATCAACACCAAATAAAAAACTATGCAGATCACTCGCCGAGAGCGCCAAACAGCAACAAAATGTTTCTACTTTCTTAATTTTTGCGAAGCCTACAGTTGTCCTACATCGCTAATTTTGGTATCATTGGAATCGCAATAAAATTCTCTACACGGACATATGCATATGAATGTTTAATATAGGTAATTGCCCACCCGCAAGAGTGTGTGAAGTGGAGAGTAGTTAGCCGCGAGCGCACTGGCGAAAACACGGGGGAAATCATGCTTGGAAAGTTTATACGTTTCCTGACCCTACTTTTCTATGTACGTATTTCTTTTTTATACCAATGCGTTCACAATAAAATTTTCTATAAGATGAACTGTATAACATTGGTACAAAGCATGTGTAAGAGAAGCGCCAAATATAGAACCACGTCGCTCAGTATGCGTTCGCGGCAGAAACGAACGCATTGTTTTCGTTCGTTTGATGTTTGTCATGTTTATACTTGTTGAAACATTTTATAATTTGTATGACAGTGATCGCAGTAAAATTCCCTACACAGACATATACATAACACATACAAATATTTCCCACGTGTTGGATATATCAACGGCTAAAGGGAACCCACTGCCACACGCTCGCCACACCCCCAAACATACTTTGTGTATTTTTTTTTTTTACTCATAGAAGTTTATGTGATATAATATTCATTCTGGTACCAAAAACTTCGCAAATAAATTCTCTACAAAACAAAAGTATCCCCATCCATTTCGGTTAAAAAATGGAATTTATAGAAATATTTTTTCGATTGACGAGAAAAGTAGGCAGTTATGCGGAATCGTAAGAAAAACCAGTGACGAGTTATCTCTAATATAAAGCACGAAAGTGTTAAGGAGAGGCATGCCAAGGAAACGAGTGAACATGGTTTATATGAAGATGCAGGAACAGTGTGAAGGTAGTGCACAGGAAATAGTAAGAGAAGATTTGGTTAAAATTGTTTGTATAGAGGGTGTGAATGTATTTGTACTGTATATGACAATTCACAAGGAACACTGTTCAGTTAGTCTTATGAAGTGGTGGGGTGCTGCTAGAATGTGGTGGTTCATATTTATTCCTGACATTATATAGTCAAGAAAATAATGAATGCAATTTTTGTAATTATCCATAACATTCTTGCACGATATAGTATTTCCTTTTCTCTCTCCAGGTTAATACCTTTCCTTACCATGAAAGTGATTAAATGGGATTATGAAAATTAATATTTATATATTTTTTTAAGGAAATTAAAGATGAACCTCTGGATATACCTGCTAAGAAGAAACCAAGATGGAATGTCCTGGCAGATAATTTCTACAAGGAGCCAACCTTACAAGGATGGGACCAACAGAGTGATGAGGATTAGTGTGCATGCATTATGTTCTTTACCAGCTTGAAATTAAAATAAACTATGATAGATCTTATGAAAGATTCCTTCCCCATATTGAGAATGACATATGCTGCATTGTTATTGTTAGTCATTAGAGAACATTTAATGCAGAATATTTTATTTTTTATAGACAATATTGTATTGATATTCACCAATACAGTACATAGATGTCAGTCAATGTACAGAATATCACATTAAATATTAATAAGGTTTGGTATTTTTCATTACTAGGTAAGCAACATGAAATCTGCAGTTTTATACCCAAAAAATATTTGATGCAATTAAATGACGATATCAGCACTATTCATTACAAATTATTCCTCATATTTTACAGGAAGTTGGGGAAACTTAGGGAGAAAGTTTTTACTCTGTACCAGATAGTATTTAATTGACATGCTGAATAATCTTCAGATTTCAGGACTCGACCCGTTCTCGCAAATTTAATAAGTCAATATTGACTTATTAAATATGTGCATAGGTGACATACTTAACATAATAGTTTCCCTTGAAAAGCTTCATAGAAAACACCGACCTTACCTAACCTACTTAGTATGTTAAGATAAGCATCTTATTGCTTCGTAATTACAATTATTACCTAACCTATAATAGGTATAGGTTAAGTAATAATTGTAATTACAAAGCAATAAGATGCTTATCTTAAGATACTAACAAGGTTAGGTAAGATCGGTGTTTTCTATGAAACTTTTTAAGGGTATCTATTATGTTTAGTATATCACCTATGCACGTAGTTAATAAGTCAATATTAACTGTACAAATTTGCGAGAACGGGTTGCAAGACTGGGCCGTGGTACCAAATTGTCAATAATTAGAACAGGTAATAAAAATTTCATTAATACTTTTAATTGAGAATATTTAAATAATTGTAAAAAGTACAATAGGTAACAGATACATAGTGTTGGTTTAAAATTATAAAGATTTATGATACAGCATGTAAATAAATTACTGTAATTTGCTAAGAAAATTACATAAATAGCTAAATCTGTCACTAATGTATGACGAGGAATACCCTGGAAACACAAACCGTAACTGTCTCTATTTTCCGCTTGTTACAACTTGTAATAAAGTTGTTACATTTTGGCTTAACATGTTTATGACGTATTAGAATGTTATTACAACTTGCTATATTGGTTGTTATAACTGGTTAGGAGGTGTTAAAACTTGTTCGAACGTTGTACCAACGTCGTAGTTTCGGTGTGTGTTTGGCGGGTATCGAGTGCTTCAGGTTTACCTATTACCACTTCCACTGTTCAGAGGGTAGGGAAGCTCAATGTAAGTGGGAAATGGGCAGTTTTGTTAAACAATTTTACAGATGATGAGTCAGTGGATATATGTTAGAAGAAACCAATATGAAATGTCCAAGGCAGACAACCTCTATATGAAACTGACCTTATATGGCTGGAATCGACAAAACAAGAAAATTAGTAACAGTTGTTTGAAAAGCATAAGCATTACAACACACAGCAGAAGGAATATACAGTATTTAAATATTTTCTTTCACCTAAGTAGGAAAGATAGCATTAACTTAAAACCTAACAAAGCAAAATATACCATTAATCTATGCATCCAGAGACATATGCATTTAATACATTCTTGTGGCTTTAAACTCAATTTGCCAATAAGCATAATACATAATGACAACGTGGCAGTTAGTCCTGGAAAATAGTGTATCTAAAAATTCTTTATATAAGGGAATTATCAGGGGAAACGTGCCAAGCTATTACGACTATATAGCACTTGGAAGGGGTCAGGATAAGTATTTGGGATGGGACAGGGGGGAAAGGAATGGTGCCCAATCACTTGGACTGTCAGGGATGGAATGCCGACCTGCATGAAGCGAGACCGTTGCTCTACCGTCCAGCCCATACATATACATATATATATATGTCGTACCTAGTAGCCAGAACGCACTTTTCGGCCTACTATGCAAGGCCCGATTTGCCTAATAAGCCAAGTTTTCATGAATTAATATATTTTCTCTAATTTTTTTCTTATAAAATGATAAAGCTACCCATTTCATTACGTATGAGGTCAATTTTTTTATTTGAGTTAAAATTAACGTAGATATATGACCAAACCTAACCAACCCTACCTAACCTAACCTAACCTATCTTTATAGGTTAGGTTAGGTTTGGTTAGGTAGCCGAAAAAGATAGGTTAGGTAGGTTAGGTAGTCGAATAACAATTAATTCATGAAAACTTGGCTTGTTAGGCAAATCGGGCCTTGCATAGTAGGCATAGAAGTGCGTTCTGGCTACTAGGTACGATATATATATATATATATATATATATATATATATATATATATATATATATATATATATATATATATATATATATATATATATATATATATATATATATATATATATATATATATATATATATATAAATATAAAAATAAGCTGAATAACGTGAAAAATAGTTTAGCTGTTATGACAATTTTGTACATTTTATAATTTTTTTATCATCAAAGTACAGTACCTTAAAAGATTAAAAGTTTAGAATTGGTGATTAGCTTTAGGACTGCTACTTTTATGGTATGACAAACAGGTGTATTCTAGTTATATAATATCCACAAATTTTGATATAACTAAACATGATTCTCTCAGGGCTTGCATGATCACACTTATTGTGTTATTACCTAAGTGTAGTTACAGGATGAGAGCTGCGCTCATGGTGTCCCGTCTTCCCAGCACTCTTTGTCATATAACACTTTGAAACTACTGACGGTTTTGGCCTCCACTACCACCTCACTGAAACTACTGACGGTTTTGGCCTCCACTACCACCTCACTGAAAACTACCGACGGTTTTGGCCTCCACTACCACCTCACTGAAACTACTGACGGTTTTGGCCTCCACTACCACCTCACTTAGCTTGTTCCGACAGTCTACCACTGTTTGCAAAAGAAAATTTTCTAATGTTTTGTGGCATCTTTGTTTCCTTAGCGTGAGTCTGTGTCCTCTTGTTCTTGAAGTTCCAGGTCTCAGGAATTCTTCCCTATTAATTTTATCGATTCCTGTTACTATTTTGTACGTAGTGATCATATCGCCTCTTTTTCTTATATTTTTCTAGTTTTGGCATATTTAACGCCTTTAACCTCTCCTCGTAGCTCTTATCCTTCAGTTCTGGGAGCCACTTGGTGGCGTGTCTTTTGCACCTTTTCCAGTTTGTTGATATACTCCTTAAGATATGGGCACCATACAACTGATGCATATTCTAGCTTTGGCCTAACAAAAGTCGTGAACAATTTCTTTAGTATTTTGCTGTGTGTATGAGAGGAATAGTGCTGGTAGCTAGCCTTGGGCACTCAATGTGGGTTTGGGGTTGGAGTGAGTTTAGGATATAAAGTTCACTACGTGCTCACCATAGCCCGTGTTACTTGGAACTTTTGTTCAGAGTAGCTGAATCAAACAACAAGAACAACAACGTGAGATTAGGTGATGCAGATTGTGAGAAAAAATTGAGTAAATGGAGGATGGTGTGAGCATGGGAGGGAAGGAAGATGGTAGGAGTGTGGGCGATGTGATGGCAGGTGTGTGAGAGTAACTCGTGGTTGTCTTTGCCAGATTGGACAAGTGAGCATGACGTGATTGTTATTATATAACAACAACATGTGTTGAAGCGAAGATACACATTAACAGTACATGGAATTTAAAAAGTTGGTCACCAAATACAAACCACTATGTGATCTGACTAACACTTGTTGAATGGATGAGTTATGTAAAGAGTCAACTATATTGCTGAAGCATGTAAGAAAATGTTTTTTAGTGATTGCTCATTAAAATGTACAGTTGATTAAAACTAAGTACATTAAAATGTAAAATGTAAAATTGGAGGAGGAACACAGCAAACAACTGCTCACTCCTTGAACAACCAGGTCCTAGTGGTATGTCTACAAAACGTAGGAGAGAGTACTCAGAGATGTCATCACTGCCTGATGCTATAATGGAAGGGGACTCCCCTTCCAAACAGTAACACCACATCTTTTCTCCATCTTCCATACACCAACAAGTCCTCAATAAAGGTAAAGTGCAGTTAAATGTTCATTTATTTTATTTAGTGTATATTTATTCCCTATTGTTTTGGGTACGAAAAAAAATGAGTAACCACAATTTTAGTTTCCAATTCACCGAGGCTCTCCGGCTCACTTTTAGACTCAAGTTTTTACAAGACATTTCATTTTAAATTGCTGCTTATCCATGATTGTTATTTTCTTAAACAGGATTATTATTGCATTTCCAACCATGTCGATACATCTACCCAACCAACACCTAAATCACCATCTGGCTGCACGTGTTCTTTGTGTGCCACTTGGCTTGTTAAACTTAGTACAGTATTGTCATAAATCTTCATATAGGGCTATTAATTCTTTGATATTATCCAGTGATGTGACTTGTCTCCTCTTGGTAAAAATTAACTTGTATAATTAATTTTTTTTTAAAAGAAATTTCCATAGGTGGAGTAATTCTCTATATATGTGGCGGCTCCACTGTACAGGAGCGCAAACTGGACCTGAAAAAGTTAATGTGCTTCAGTTATCATCATCATTACCTTAGTTCTCACTTTCATGGGGTTGGGAAGCATCAACATGAAAGAAATAGGAGAGTACATAGGAAAAGGAGATTAAAAGACACACACCTATGTACCATATCTTTCACACTACATACTGCAGCATCACACAAGCAGCAAAACATTCACATCAGCATCCCACTGCTTTATACAAGCCAGGCATAAATTGCTTCCTCCAAGATGTTATTTGGAAGTAGGTCAAATATTCACTGCTGACAAATTGTTTCCAACCATCCACATTCGCAACCAATTTTCGTGCACTGTTCATACTTAATACATGCTTTCTCACACATTGTGATTACGGTAGATCAGAGATGAAATGTCGATGGCCTTACTGTTATAAATATGGTAATGCTAATGTTCTCAAGGTTTCCCACATGGCCCAGCTTTGTTGACAACCAAAAGATGACAACTACAACACAAGTCGTTCAGCTCATACCATCCTTGCACTGGCTGTGCATTTCAAGAATTTAAATTCCATCTGTAATCATTCATTCTTCAACATATTTCACATACAGAGCATGTTTTCTCGAGTAGATACTCATGAAATGAAGTCAACCAACTGCATTAAATATAGTTTGTATCTAATGAAGAATTATACTATTAAAAATCTGCTTCTTGGGATCTAGCTACAAGCTCTTCCAAGTGGTTAGTAATGACAGTTGTGAGAAGGTAAGCAATTTCTGACTTAAATCCCTACCTAATAGCCACATATGAAAGGTGGCATTATGAAGAGATGCTTGTGCTACAGACATGTAACTTGAACATAAGATAAGTAAATGGTCATAAGTTATGAGAAATGCTCAGGAGGATTAGTATATGCGTGTGTTACAGTGCATCCTCAATTTGGCAAATCTCCAGTGGTAACAAACAAGTCCCAGGCTATACTTACTCACCTGCTTCACTGAACTGGTCTGTTCTGCTCACTGTTCAACAAAGCAAGGGATGTGCAAATTTTCTTAGTATATAGGTCCAGAGTTAATAGACCTCTGAGAAAGTTGATGAACATGGCTCATTTACACCATATTTAAGAAAAGATTAAAGAGACTGGATCCTAAGAATGAGGTTTAAGTGTCTCTAAGTCAGGATCTCCTGGTAAAATTAGCTCATCTTGGTTATCTGAGCTTATTTTGAGATGATTTCGGGGCTTAACGTTCCTGTGGCCCGGTCCTCGACCAGGCCTCCTTTTTGTTACACATCCCCAGGAAGCAGCCCATAGCAGATATCTAACTCCTGGGTACCTATTTACTGCTAGATGAACAGATGCATCAGGGTGAAAGAAACCGCTCATTTTTTCCACCTCCGCCGGGGATCAAACCCAGAACCTTAGAACTACAAATCCCGAGCACTGTCCACTCAGCCATCAGGCCCCCCATAGAGCATGGGAAATATTAGGCTATGAATGGTAACACATACTATTACTGTACTAATAATTTTTTAATTTTTCTTTGTAAATGAATGAAATACACTGTATTAGGAGAAAGACCCAGGTATGTTCCATGGAATAGCAATGTATTTTTCTTGTCTAACAAAATACAGTACAGTAATTGCATCATACAAATGCCTCCTGAAGGTATCTCCAGTTGCAACAAATTGGGGTTTGTCTCATATAGTTTGCCAAATTGAAATTGCACTGTACCCTGATGTGAATTTGAACATAAGTGTATAAGCATTTTATTTCATGTATACTCAAGATAATAGTGTGAAGATTAATTACCTCAGAAGTGATAAATTGAGGCCTACTCCTTAATAGTTTCACAACTGTTCTGTAGACATCCACGCGCTGTTCATTCTGCAGTCGCTCAACCACCAAAGTCATGGCAGCCACTAGTCCACATCCTGTCACACCGTCACTGTCAAAGAAGTAAATATGAATTATTTTCTAAATGTAATTTTTATTTTTGCACCAAATCTTAATTTACCTGATGGCCAGTTTCTTGTGTCTGCAACTGGAACAGGGTGAAGGCTCTCAAATTTTCTTGATTTTCTCTAGGTGTATTGTAAACAATAATAATAATATCCTGGCTTCAATGGCTTTCAAATGGTAGGTTGCTCCATAGGATTATTATTATTTGTTTTTAAAGAGTTGAAGATTTTCCTGTTGTCTGTCCTGCAGTATGGCTTTGCAGGCTTCTAGCAGTTGCCTCTCATCACATTATATCTCTTGAAAAGGTATGGATTGACTTTTTATAACTTGCTTAATACAGTATTTAAAATGTCTGGGTGAAATGTGTCCTGTTATGCTTTCATGCCTTGTTTGAAGGGTCATCAGTTCCCAAGCCTTCAGAAACCTTTTGGATTATTTGTGTATAATCTGTGTTGGATTTTTTAAAGTGCGGTAGCCTCTAGAAAAGGCCTCTATTCTTGAGTAAAGTAGTACTTACTGGTTGTCTCTGGGCAAATTGAGCAACCCGTTCTCGCAAATTCGTAAAGTCAATATTGACTTATTAACTACGTGCATAGGTGATATACTAAACATAATAGATACCCTTAAAAAGATTCATAGAAAACACCGACCTTACCTAACCTTGTTAGTATCTTAAGATAAGCATCTTATTGCTTCATAATTACAATTATTACTTAACCTATACCTATTATAGGTTAGGTAATAATTGTAATTACGAAGCAATAAGATGCTTATCTTAAGATACTAACAAGGTTAGGTAAGGTCGGTGTTTTCTATGAATCTTTTTAAGGGTATCTATTAGGTTAAGTATGTCACCTATGCACATATTTAATAAGTCAATATTGACTTATTAAAATTGCGAGAACGGGTTGAATTGAGGCAAGGAGTTTTATTAATAGTCTTGTATGAGAGCTTGTCATGGAAGGATGGGTGTGATCCAGTGTGGCTATGTGTGGGCCTAAGTTGCCAAGTTAGATGATGTATGGTGCAAAAGTGGCAAGTCTTCAATTCTTGTTGGAGGCTTTGTTACTGGATTGGTGCTACATAGTCTTCCCACCTTGATACCTTCTTTTGATAATTATCTTCTGTGCTGGACATTGGTTCTTTAAGATGAAAGCTCCCTCGAAAGAGATGAAGTATGGTGGCCTTGCTGGTATTATTGTGTGTTTACCCATAGGCCCTCTTAATGAAGTGCTCATTTCTAAGAACAAAAAAGTCTGGAATGGTAATAGGATTGTCCTCACGGCTCGTTTTAACTTACAGTATGTCTTTACCATACATCATCCATTTTGTATAATTTAAATTTATACTTAAAGCAGTGATAACCATACCATTTTACACAACCAGGTTATGTGGCCGATTTATGTGTAATAGTTCATTGGAGATACTGTAGATGAATAGAATCTGCTTTCATAGTCTTTGTATAAATATTAATCAGAAAAAATAATTCTTTGCTGAGTACTGTATTACCAAAACCATTACCAAAACAATCAACAAAACCATTGTTGATTGGCAACAAACCAATTTAGCAATAACTTATGTTCTTATTGCATCTTGTGTTCCACCAGCACACTACAGGCTGTCACTATGGGTAATATTATTTTCACATTTCCTGCTATTATTGAAGAACCCACAACAGTGAAATAATGAATAAACTAAGCTATCAGTTCTGAACTGTATTTGGTGTTTTCATAATTTGTTCCAGGTCTATTCTGTGCCTGGTGATACACCCCATTTGTAAAGATGAATATCACTAACAGTTCCTGCTTTTAAAGGAATGGCTGATTATTACTAAAGTTTTTATTAGGCTGGTACAGAATCAATGATAAACCTGCAAGAAATTAGTACTATCAGCGATTTTTTTTCTGTAAAGTTTACAAACTATTGATCCACATTACTCTGTAATTTTACTGTTTTGGTAGTTCATCATTTGGGTCTATACACTTAATCATACTCTGGTCTCTCGTTTTAAACGTTGCAACTCTTATGACATTCTAATTTTTTGTAGTAAAGCATCACACTGTAGGGGTGTAGGGCATTTAGATATCTTTTACTTTCAATAATGCCTTATTTCTAATGTGAATGGCAAGCTCTACTCATAATTTACTGTGTTGGTTGTTACATACATCAGAATGTTCTCTATAAAAAGTATATGATCCAAACTGACGGTAAAACAGCATAGTAGAGCAAAGAAAGTTATAACTTACGTCAATGATATTTTAGAGGCAATCATTAAATTTAAAGAACTACAAATTTTGGGATGCTGAGCCAACATAAACTACACAGTACAATATCTAGCATAAATGTATTCCACATCGAAACATAGTATCAAAAGCATGATACAAATTCATAAAGTGAATAAGAGTTCAGTTTGAGAACTGCTACATATTTCCACAACAGATACTAACCCACAGCACAAAATAGGTGGACCAATCCGAGTACTACTAGGGTTCTGTAGTAATAATTCAGCCAATTTGAGCAAGACGTCTGGCACAGGCGGCACATCTTGACCATACTGCCACGAGAGCACCTGATACACTTGCACATTATGGAGTAAGTTCTGAAAAATAAGACTTGATAAATCAGTGTTTTGCCTAGGGTCAAAATCTTGTCAAACAACCAAGAAGCTGTTGACCATTAGAAGGATAAAAATGACATTCAACATTACCTTAAAACTACCCATTAGTTTAGCTACATATTCTTCACAGCTTGGTGCCATCTTTTAATAATTACTAACTATCCATTAGTCTATGCAGTGGTTTGCAACCTTTTTTGGATTCATGGCCGTATTTTCTAATGCAGTACTCATAACTCCTCAAACCTATTGCCACCCCTTTCATAATTGATTTTTTTTTAAAGAATGAATTTAGAAACACCTCATTTAAGAGGAAAACAATGATGCTAGCTATTTTTCAAGCATTGCAAGTTAGGGAGGGGGGTGGTCATGACCCACCAATTGGGAACTGGTGGTCTAATATAATGGCAGAAAAGCTTATTAAAGTAAAGTCCCACCATACTGTCACGAGTGTAGTCAGTGTGTATGTGAGGACAGTGTAGGTGGTCAGGATCTGGGTAACATTGGTGTTTTTACTTGGTGGGTGCGTTGGCAGGCTTGTGGTTTGATTGGTTGCTATATTTGTAAAAGTATGATTGGCTATTGTGGTGTGATGTTGTGTTGAAGCTGTTCACGCCGATTTTGCGGGATGCGGTTTCCCTGTTCTATGCTTCCTGTCTCGCGTGTCGGCAGGCGGTGCTGGGTTCCTCCGTGGAATCTGCTTGGGCTCTGGCTCTTAGGCGTTCTTCACCTTTTTGTCCTCTCCTGTTTGGGGAGTCGACCGTGGCGCAGTTTATTCAGGCTGCGTCGGCGGCTTGTCGTCCGATGTCGGACTTGTTGGTTTTCCGGGGGTCCCGGGGTGGGTCTTCCCGGAAAGGTCGTGCCAGGGCTCGGGGTTCCTCTCGTCGTGGTAGGCCTCTGGTGTCAGGTTTGGGGTTGGCTCCTCCTGCGGACCCTCCCTCGTCTGGTCGGCGCGGTGTTCGCGCTGTGCGGGGTTCTGGGTCTCGTAAGGGTCGCCGGCCCTTTCGCGGTTTGCCCCTTTGACGAGGCGATGGGGGGGCGGCTTGCGCTGTTCGCCCGCGCCTGGTCCCACGATTCGTGGGCCTTTCGGGTCGTGTCCTAGGGCTCTGACAAATTTGTGCCCATAAACAGACATTATGTGTCTGAAAAATAATTATAACTGAAATGAATGTTTTCAGTGACTCTCAGAAACCTTCAATGGTATAACAAGGATGCCATAGTGACTGGCATCAGTGCCTAAATGTCTGCTAAGTGATCATAAGATAGCACCACTGGATCACATTCCTCTGGAATTGGCATAATACAAGTTGCAAAATAATGGAATGTGAAATCATTTGCAAATATTTGTCATAAAATGAGAGATTGTTTATGTCGAGTTTGATCGAGGTATTTCCAGTCTGACATATCCAGAAAAGTCTTTCTGCCATGTTTTATTTTCATACATTCATGAGAAATTTTCCTTCATAGTATCTTATGAAGGCAAAAAATATAATTGCCACAAGATATTTTAGATACAATACCTTTGAGTTTTGAATTTGTACTGTGTACTGCATGAGTGAATTTCCATAGGGCTGAGCTTGGTGCGCATGGATGGTGTACTCTCCAAGGGTCCACATGCCTCCCACATAAGGCATTAAATCAGGGAACTCATCCTAAATGGTAGAGAGTAATTGTGATTATTGATTACAAATTGAAATCATTGAATGAATATTAATTTAAAATTATGGAAAAGTAAACAAAATCACTACCTTGCTTTGCTCGTCAAATTGATTGATGAGTATTACAAGAGAAGAGCCCTTCTCCACAACCATTCTCCAGAATTTGGAGAGTGTGATAGGCATGGGGTGTTCTGTGACTAGTAGTGCTTCAGTGTGCATCAGACCTGCAACCTTCACCGCATTAATATACTGTGACTCTGGCTCTCCATTTTCCATTTGTAGGTATATTCGTTGGGAGTCTGCTGGCAATATTGTATTGTTACGATTCATTGACTCAAAGCTCGGATTAGAAGAACTTTTATATGAGAGTGGGGATGGTAAGGCTTTTATATTCCTTAACTGAGCTTTGCAGTTACTCAGATAACTGTCTAGAGAATTCTGAAGATGTTCTGCAGCTACAATGGTTTTTTCACCAAAGAGAATCTCATCAAGGATCTGCAGGCTAAGGTTGTATTGTGCTTGGTTTTCAACTAGTCGTGCCCGACAGTTCCTAAGGTGCTTGAGCACTTCGAGAGGATCAAAGCTTCCTTCAACAGCAAGCATTTCAAACATGAGAAGAACTTGGAGAACTGTACCAGTTCGGCCAATCCCAGCTGAACAGTGAACAATCGTGCCACCTGTTGAGAGAGAAGTACTTTAACTAAAATTGTTAGTTGGACATTATTATTTAATACTGTAGCCATGCAGATCAAATGAAATAAGACTTAAGAGATTAATATTGAGGAAGAAAAGGACTATGCAAACTATCACAGGAATTATTTCAGTGGAAGAAGATAAAGTGATGATAACCATGGTTTACATCTCCCAGGGAACCACAGAAGAAACAGGTAAGAAAGCGAGAATGTGAACAGATCTCGCAGAATATATGGCAGAAAAATCCTATACATATATTCAGAGTGCAGTTGCAAGTAATGGGAGACATGAACATGGCCAAATTAACTGGGAAACAATGGATCCCATAAGTAAACAGAGAGAAAGAAGAGAGAGAGAGAGAGAGAGAGAGAGTGTGTGTGAGAGAGAGTGAGTGTGAGTGAGTCAGAGCAATTAAGCTGTTAGCAAGTTTCTTCTGCTACTTCTAAATCAACATGTCAAGAAAGAAACTACTTCATTTGAGAAATTTAAGTCTAAAAAGAAGTATGCACAATTACCCAGTGTAACAGATTTCTTAGAATCTTTTCCATAATACTTTCTTCTGGCAGTATTTGTTCTCAGAATCTTTGAAGTCACAATTTTTTATCATAGCAATACAGTATACTGTACTCTCAAAATCTTCATTGCTTTTAAGTCAGAAACTATGCCAGTGCCATGGACAGGACACATCCAATATCAGCAATATTGAGCAGCCCCCACACACATTCACACAGTGGGAATTCCCTCACCAACAGACCAGCATCGCCAGGGAGGAATATAACAGAAACCTACCACCAACTCGCCCCACAATCATTCCCCACCAATCGCTTGCACCTCCCCAACCAGTAGAGACCCTCTCCAGACCATTCCTCCCCCCCCCCACATGCCCTCCTTCCCCAATCCCTTCTCCCACCCCAGGCTCTTCCTGTTCCCACACCCCAGGCTCTCCCTGTTCCCACACCCCAGGCTCTCCCTCGTTTCTCCAACCCATGCCCTCCCCAGTACCCACACCCCAAGTTCTCCTTCCAACCACACCCCTCTCCCTCCCTCCAACCCATGCCCTCCCCAGTACCCACACCCCTGGCCTTCCCCCCCCCCCCCCCCATCTCGGTGGTTGGGAAGGGGAGGGGAGCCTGGCCTGGCCTCCCAGCCCCCCTAATGAAGGGAAGCAATTTATAGTAATACTGTATTAAAATTACAAGAACAGTAATTAGTAACACTTTTTGAAAAATATGCTCTAGTTCTTTACACTACAGTATTCTGAATGGTGAGTTGGTGTGGTGCATTGAAGGGCCTTGGTGTAATGGACACCCTGTTCTGTTGACTCAAGGTTTGTCGAATTTGTCTATAGAATCGAGAAAATGCTTTCCTCTCCGCCAAAGGGTCTGTTGAGGCTAGACTGTATATATATTTGTAATGCCCAAATTGTGACCAATGTTTTCATTTCTTTGGAATAGCAAGTCATGAAGATAATACAGGATATAACATACCTTCACTGTGTCTGTTTTGATAGTGTCGGAGCATCTGAGCCATCGAGCCAGCTTCATCTGGGATACCATGATCTGGCCAGCTAGTGTAATGGTAGTGCTGCACACTATGGCTCAACCCACCTGTTGAAACCTTAAGAAAATTTGAACAAATTTGAAATTCTTATATTATAAAAAGTTTGAGGTGTTTGATGGGTTAAAAAGTTTTATCTCTGGGTTTGTTTTTTTGCCATATTTTCCAATAGGTAACATGATTTCAAAACATTATTATAGAAAGACATGGCTTAACATCAAAAGCTGTCAACTTCTCAGTGACCATTAATTTAATCTCCAAGTTCATGATACCTGGAGTGTGTTCTGGCAGTTCTTTTACTCCTAAAGTATGTAGAATGTCAATATTGGTCATCAGAAAGAACCCACAACTAACAGCAAAAGAATCATAAGTTATTTTATCAATCATAATTTTGTCTAGATATTCTTTGGTACATATTTTGGTTTTCATCTTTACTTGGCAAGTGCCTCTCACTAACCAATGAAAGTTAGAAATGGGATGGTGATTAAAATATAAAGTGTTTAACCCAAAAACGTGTAATTAAATGAAACAGATGAAATTTCTAGCACATTAAAACATAAGAAAATAGAAAACTGAAGTACATTGTGCTCACAGCACTTATGACTGACCTGTACCGATGACACATTGAAGTGTGGAAACTGTTCTCTATGGAGGACGGAGACAAGGTAGCCATCAAAGTCTAGGGTGGCTCCTGGATTTAGGTACTCTCCAACCTTACTCTGTAACAAATCAATATTTAGTGCGTTCTTAAATACCTATGAATAGATTTTATTCTTAAGACCTAAACTATATGTAATTATTTGGTAAAGACTGGTTGGTACCCGTTCTCGCACTTGCTTACAGTCAATATTGGCTTATTTAATAAGTGCATATGTGACATACTAATTGATTGTGAATATTTTAGTTTACCTTGAAAAGCTTCATAGAAAACATTGACCTCACCTAACCTTCTCAGTATGTTAAGATAAGCATCTTATTGCTTCTTATTTACAATTATTACTTAACCTATCAACGGTATAGGTATTTACAATTATTACTTAACCTATCAATGGTATAGGTTAAGTAATAATTGTAATTAAGAAGCAATAAGATGCTTATCTTAACATACTAAGAAGGTTAGGTGAGGTCATGTTTTCTATGAAGCTTTTCAAGGTAAACTAAAATATTCACAATCAATTAGTATGTCACATATGCACTTATTAAGCCAATATTGACTGTAAGCAAGTGCGAGAACGGGTTGGATTATTTGATAACAAATATTTTACAATCCTAAATCTACAAATTAACATCTCACCTTGCCCCCCTCAACGAAGTTGGCAACCATAATGATGGCGTTAATGTCGTGCTCTATGATCATCCTCCAAAAGTCAACAATAGTAGGCACTTTCACATCCTTGGGACCTTGTGCAGCAATGTAGCGCATACCACCATATCCCTGCCAAAATAATCTTTAATGCATTAGTTTTATATTATAACAATAATTGTATTCTTAAATTGTAAATGTTAACTGTAATCCTATTATTTCATCAGTTGTCTTTTTTACACTTTAGGAGTTTTTACAACTTTACAGATACTGTGCATATACTGTTGATAAAATACATTGCATTATTGAACTTGGACTTGAATAAAAGTTCACTAATAAATACTAACTAAAGTAAGAATGTTATAGTGACCATGAAGATAAATCTTTAGCACTTAAATAAGAATATTCATTAAAACAAAGTTTTTATCCCAAACTTGACTTACAGAGACATGGTTGGCATTGATGTAGTCAGAATAGGGATCATCATTAATGATTGAGAGCAAGACCCTCGTGTCGTCATCTGCACAGATCATCATTTAGGTTAGTAATACTTCAGCGCTGACATGTGCTGGTAGCAACAAGAACCAGATAAGGTAACATACTATTCATCTCTGATATTATGTTTACAAATAAAGAATACGAATTTAATAATTGTTATTGGTTTATATGTATTTTTATTGGTTAGTTTGCATTTGTGTTGGCTTACATACTTCTACTGATTTGTGTGTTCTGTATAGAATAGATAAATTTGCCTTGATAAAACAAGGATTTGCTACACAAGATAAATAATTTAGCAAAGTCATAGCCTAAAATATATTGTATATTATCAAGGGACTGGACAATAGAAATGGAGTCATATAAAACAAATGATATATCAGAGAAATTGACGAGTCAAGAATTATGAGCAAATTAAAGAAATAAGTATGCAGTAAATCAGACTGAATGTACAGTACAGTATATACAAGCACTGTTTCTGAGCAGGACACTTAATTGGTTGCTCCCTCAGGCATGGTCCTGCTGCTCTTATGGATGGTATGCACAGTTGGGCCAGGATGACATTCTGCACTGGAGAATACTTTAGCATCATTTATATAAACTACGTTCTAAGTACTGGACTACTTTGCATCTAAGGAACCATCAAGCAGTGCTTTCAATAATCACTTTGGCCCATTAGGCCTTTACCCCATAATGCACGAGATGGTATCACCGATACTTGAACAGAGTTCATTGCTTTGAACTATATTTCATTCTACTTCACAAGGAAACTGGGGATAAAAAGGAGGATAGGAATGAGTGTCGTGATCTGTGAAAAACTTTTCATATACTGATTAGTTTACTCGAGTTTACCTGAGTGCCACCATATCTAATGGCTTTGATGGGGCAGGAAGTTGATGGCTTGTCAAAGGTTCCAATATCATTTCTTAGGATTTTCTTTCTGTTGAAGATTATACTTAAGTACTGTCTTAGTAGGTAAGCAATTCTATGGGTTAATTACCCTATGGGTGAAATGCATCTCCTGTTTTCTACACTGTGGTTTGTTGAGTCTGAAGCTGTAGCAATTGAAGATTCAACATATGTGAAGAACCTCATATGAAACACTCATCTGATTACAGTATAAACAGCCGGACAGTAGGTATGTCCTATCAACATGATCAAGGGAGAACTGCCAGTCTATAACACATATGCCACCCCAGCTGGCCAAAACACGGTTGAATGTTAAAATCCAACTTTAAAAAATAAAGACATATGGGGGGACCTTTGACAAGCCGCCAGGTTTCTGTCCTTATCGAGGCCACTAATGAGTAGTGGCCCTCAGGTAAATCGGGTTTCCCCCTGCCCCAGGAGCCTGCCATGAAAACTTTGAGGCGGAGCCAAAGTTGTTGTCCAACGCCTGGGAAAGGAAGGTGATTTTCAAAGATGGTATGGAGGAAACATGCGGTTGTGAAGGAGAAAATTCCATAACTTTGGCTGGACTGGATGACTCAACAACCTCCACACTTGAGAAGGAAGGTGCAACCCCTGAAATTTGCCGAGTTACACCTATAGCTAAACCCTGCTTCAACTTTGAAACCCTTAGATGTTTTGGAGCCAGAAGCAGGGCAAACCACACCTGCCTAGGAAGGTAGAGGAGGCATGACCGGAGCCAAGGTGGAGATTACCAACACCTCCAATTCTGGGTCTCCATATACCACACAGGGCAATTCTGGAGTTTTCATTTGAGTACAAAGCCACGAATGCTTAAACTGGGGAAACCTAACCCATAATGCAGCAGCTGCCCAAATGCCTCAACTTCCGAGGCAAGATCAAAGAGGATCAGAAACCGTGGGGAACAAACCCCACAGGACCTGAGGTCTCAAGAGTCCTCAACCCAATATGCAGCACGATGGAAGCAGAAAGAATGATCGTCGATGAATTCAAATAAGCAAATGTCACATCAATAATTTAAACAGACCTTTGAGTAAATATGAGAAACTTCTTTCTAAGGAAAACACTTCGATGATCTTTATCCATAAATATCCCATTTTACAGGACCATGACAATCAGGGTAAAGTGAGACTGAACTCTGGCACACCAGAGATCCCTGATGGGTCATACTGGTGCTAGGAAGGCACTGGAGAAGAGGTCACTACAACTCACTCACCACAAAGTTCAACTCAATACTCAAAAGCCTGTCATGTATCATGCGGCACTTTTAAATACTGAGCTCAAACTCATATTTGTAACGAATGAAATATTTATAAAATAGTACTAACACGGGAGGTTATTCCTGAAGCGATTTTTAGGCTTGTTTTCTGGAAGTTGTCCTACATCAGAGCTCTTGTTGAAGTTGTCCGGAACACTCTGTTGGGTAAATACCAAAGTTCCTGTTATTACAAGACAACTGCGAGTAAAAACACAAATATTAAAGATCTGACAGCACATAATGAAACAAACTGGCACATTAGCATTATGTGACAGTAATGAAAAATCAATATAATTGCATCACAATAATTTAAAGTAAAGAATAAGTTATCATAATTAAACAAACTAAATCATGATTATACTATGTTGAGTGCATTACTGTCTAAAACCAGTATGAAAAACAAACCTCACTGCAATACAGACTCATTTATGAAATTAGTTTTTAAATTAAAATTAACTTGCTATTGATGATTTAAATCACCATGCCAACTACAATAGGAGGATGGAGTATGCATGGTGTATTATAATCTAATTTGTTTCCTTGTCTATAAGAGACTAGTGTTAAAAAAAAAGTGCTGGTGATGAGTAGTGTCTGATTACACATATGTAACTAAATGCCAATAGAAGAAACAGAATACAAATAAATAAACGAAGGAAAAACTTAGTGTTAAATGAAATGAAATGTCTCTTTCTGGAGCTCCCCAGTGACTAAATCAAGTTATCTTGCCGAGATTGCTCCATATTAAAAGGTCACAACAGTTGCAGAAGTATTGTGGCCTACTGGGGATCGGAGCCAGACCCTGGTCCACTCACAGAGGTTCAAGGAGCAGGTGACAACCTCCTGTTACCTCACTGAAAAAAGCCTCCAGAAAGTCAGTTCATCTTTACAGACAATTGAAGGGTTCACAGAAAGCAAAGCATCAAAGCTGGCAAACAACTCGGCAAATGATTCACATAAAACTAGGGATTCACTCCAACTAAAGTAGCTCGATACTTGTTACAGTGTAATAATTACAGCCACCATCTGGTCTGGCCCCCAGCCTGCCTTCAACTGACTTCCCTGGTGGCTTCCTGAAGCTACTAACCACAGAGAACAAAGACGGGACTTACCAGGAAGGAATGAGAATTATCAGGGGGAAAGTGCCAAGCCATTACGACTATATAGCATTTGGAAGGGACCAGGATAAGGATTTGCAATGGGACAGGGGGAAAGGAATGGTGCCCAATCAATTGGACGGTCGGGGATTGAACGCTTACCTGCATGAAGCGAGACCGTTGCTCTACCGTCCAGCCCAAGTGTTTGGGCCCAGGAAGGAGGAGAGGCGGCAGATACTGTACTACGATAACAAAGAAGAGAACCCAGGCTTTGGAATACAGCCTAAAGCAACGCATGATCGACTTGGATCAGGAACATTGACTAAATATTGGGCCGTCAGAACCGAGATAAACTGAGTAAATCTGTTTATCAGTGTAGCTAAATCATCAGTGAGAAAGTATTGTGTGCAGTTCAGGGAGGAAAAGAACAATGTGATGCCATCACAAAAACCTTGGTTTGGGCGATTCAAGAAAACTTCTTGAAGGTCTTTGAATATTCTTGAATAGGTCTTTGAATATTTTGAATAGGTCCTTGAATATTAATCAGAATAATATCAAATTCTGCTTTCAGACAACACACAGCCCCCTTGTTTAACTCCCTAAACATGCTAAACATAATCTCACTCCACAAATTCTCTTGTGTCAACTCCATTTAAAAAACCCTGTTCTTAAATGCAAATCCTTGTCTGAAACTCTTCCTGGACAGATGTAATAGGACCCATTATCACCACATCAGAAATAAATATATCTTTGATATCCCCAGAGTTAAACTTAATCTGTGTAAACACTCTATGCAAATAAAGGGACCCAGCTTATGGAACTCACTCCCTACTGAATTAAAAAGCTGTCCAACTTTTACATCATTCAAAATCAATACTAAAACGTACCTAATTGCATCTTCATAGTTTTTCACTTTTTGCCTTAAAATTGCACTGTATCAATTGCTACCCAATCTCCCAACCTTTATGTTCCCAATTTGAACATCTTTACCATTGTGATCATTGCTGTTTTCTTATATGTGCTGCCAATCTGTTGTATGGTGTTTATAAATCTTGTTTATCTGTATCTTTTGCTACCCAGTCTCTCAATCTTTATGTATCCATTCTGAACATCTTTACCATTGTGTTCATTGCTGTCTTATATGTGCTGTCAATCTGCTGTACGGTGTCTATTAATCTTGTTTAAATTACTAATCAAGCTGTCAATGTAATCAATCAGAGCTTTAATATAACAATGTGCTTTAATATACTTACTTATCTCTCTCATCTCATTTTTCTCTTGTAATGTATCTTTATCATTTATCAATTCTGATTGAAATTACCTACTTAAAATTATCTGCTAGATTAAGGACCTGCCCGAAACGCTGTGCGTACTAGTGGCTTTACAAGAATGTAAATACTGTACTATCCAATGTATTCTCACAAACCCAATGTACCTTCTTGTATATATATAAATAAATAAATAAATAAATAAATAATTCTAAAATGTTCATTGGAGAGTACATCTTGCGTGACTACTGTATCTTGCCACATTTATGAGTTGAGTTATACTAGCCACATGCCAGCATCTTCTAACACGATGGTGCACCTGCTCACATGCCAAATCTGTCACCAAGTGGCTTGATAACTGCATGGTACCTTTCACAAAGGATTGGCCAGGTAGCAGCTTGGATCTCAACCCAGCTGAGAACCTCTGGCACGTGGTTAAGAGGGAGCTGGAGAGCAAAGACAACCTCCATATCCAAGCTTGAGGAGGCCCATCTATCAGTCCTGGGCAAACATTTCATTGGAACACCTACGGCAATGCCTCCAAACCAGGAAGAAAAAACGCCATCCAAGTATTAAAAGGTAATTATAATATAGTATTTACCTTAAATATTCTTATGTACAATATTGTGTGTTGTGGGGAGGAGTGGGGCGCAACATATTTTTGACGAATACTGAAAATTTTGTTAATAAAATATTTCAGTATTGCTAACTATCTTATGTTATGTTTACTGGACTTCGCATGCCCTTAGGCAAAAATGCTATGTTTGGTCACTGTACATAAAAACATTTAGTTATTTTAAACTTATTTTATACATATTTGCACACCAACTGAAATAATTTAACAACTAACCCTAAATTCCTCCGAGGTTTCATAAGCCTTGATAATTCTATTAAGGTAAGCTTCAACTTCTGCATAGGGAATACGCCTCGTGACATTTTCATAGATATCTTCTGTGCTGAAGTTCTCGTAGGTAGGATCACTTGTTACAACCTCACCATTGATCTGAAAATGGATTACAAATAGTGCTGAGTAGGCTAAGTAGTTGTCAAACCATTTATACCCTTGTCATCGTTTCCCTCTCTTATATCTGTGATGTCTTCTTGCTACCAGGAACTACCATACAAGAGAGTGACAATGACAAGAGACCTCTAGGCGGCTATGTTTAAATATTGCTTTCTGGTATATCTTCTTTTCAGGCAGCTATGTTTAACCATTAATTTGTAGCTGTAGTCTGAGAAAGGGGCAACGAACAACCTTCAAACTCGCACAAGGCGAGATGGGACTAAGAGGACACATCCATTGGTCACCCAAGACACGACAGGGGTTTCCAGGGCCCGTAGGCATATGTATCCCTACGGGAAGCCCAGGCACTAGTGCTGCCAAAGCCGGTTGTGACCCCGTATATCATCTGGGCAAACTGACCCCTGTGAGGCGAGAAACCTCGGAGGCCAAGAGGAGGACTGCCCTACTGAACCTAGGTATCACCTAGTAGGAAACACGGCAGCCTCCCAATGGGCAATAAAGAAAACTAAAAGGTGGAAAGAGAACCCCAAGGAAGCATCTCAACCCAGGGGACCAGAAAGAGGCACGACCGCTGAGATATGCAAGCGATGCAGCCCAGTGCGCTCCAACCAGGAACAACCACTACCTACCCAGGGCCAAATGAAAGTATGTGATCTAAGCTGACCCCAAGGGTGAGGCAGAAAGCTCAGCAGCTGCTACCTCTATGGGAATGGGGACCCGAAGGACCCAGAGAAGATAACTCTGAACCCCAAGGGGTGTACTCACAGGGCGCCTAGGGTAGGGAGACCTAAGGGTATGCATCCCTTAGTACAGAACTCCTGGCCACCGTCAATGCACAGCAGGAACACCAGCAGGGTGAAGCCAATCAGGCAACTGAGACCAGAGCAGACTGAAGTCTGCTCTTCCCGTCTAGTTTCAGCCGACAAACTGACGGTCCGGCTGACCGTGTTGCTTGTTAGCTTGTTTTCCTTGGGGAGGGGGGAGAGGGGGGTTTCTAGACCCTGTTCGGTCTCAGGCTGCAATGTTCTACCAGAAGTCTGTTTTGGAGCACCTACCTTTCTGGGTGCTCAACCCCGGTCGATGGCAGACATGAATACTTTCATACATGAGAGTTTCATAAGCCACTGCTCCCTGTGCCTCTCTGAGGAGACCATATTTTTGTTAGTGGTCCCCGGTCGGCATGATAACTCCTTATGACTGAAGCCCCGTACTAATATTAGGTAATATCAGTCCAAAAGCTCCAGGGAGCCGACGGGGCTCCCCCGCAGAAAAATAGAAACTTTAAACAGATACAACAAATTTGCAAAGGAAGATGGGAGAACAAGAGCTTGATCTGTATCCTGTAAACTACAAATTGGAAATTACATAAAACAAATTTAAAATGAATGTGAGGTGTTAGATGTGATTTTCAAAATATTATGTGTGTCACAGCCATATTTACTGATGTCAAGTCCAATATCATTACAGCACAGTCATTTGAACTTTATACAGACCTGCGGCAGGTTAGCAGGAGTCTTGACTTGAGATTGTGGAAGTATAGCAGGAGTCTTGACTTGAGCTTTGTTTGAGACTAGTATTGGGTCTGCATATGGGGTGGGAATTGCAGTTTTCGCTGTAATTTGTTCTGCAGACGCAAGTGAGCTATGGTTTTCAACTACAAAATCTTTTTTGTCATGCAAAGCTTGGTTGCTGCTGCCTGGAAATTGGAATGATTATGTTCTACATTAATTCAAACATTTTCAGGTTCATTGTATTTCTATGCACTTAAGAAATTTCATAATTGCAATTTAAAAATGCCAATTAACTGTCAAAGAAATCAGAAATGAAAGATATACAGTAATACACACATTTAAGTTGCATACCCTTCAATATCACTATAGCTCTGTACTGGTTGCACAGATTAAAATTACTTCTCTTACTTATTACACCAGCTACCATATTTCACATCCATTTTCTGCACATTATCTATTCTTCCTTACTCTCACTCTAAATATCTTTTCTTTTCTTTAGATAAATAAATACACGTAGAGTACATTACACGCAACAAGGGTTTAACCCTCAGTCAGCAGCTATGAAAAATAGTCATATTTGCTTATGCACAAAAAACCAGCGTTGAATGTTATGAAACCCTATTTCCTGGGTGAGACCTGAAGGCTCACCAGAGCTATACTGGGCTGATGTGTATATATTAGACCGTGGCAACAGTCAATCGATGGAGTTCTAGGCCTACTGGGGACCAGTGCCACAACCTGGAGCCCCCTCAGAGAGGCACGGGGAGCAATGGCCCATAGACACCCCGGTGTAGTTGGAAGCAGTCCATATCTGCCATCTACCAGGTCAAGCACCCAGAAACGTAGGAGTCCCAAAACAAACTACAGCTGGTGAAAAATTGCTAACCGAAAGCCGAATGAGCAAGCAGAACTCCTCAATCAGAAAACACGCAAACAAGCATGACATCACCACAGCCGTCGTGCCGCTGTCTGTCCAACGCCTCCCTCCCCGGGATGGGGAAGGAGGGGTCCCAGATCTCCCACGCCGGCTACCCAATCCCAGTTCTGGATATATTCCAGTCCCCGGCTGGATATAAAAAACGCGAGAAACTGCTGACCGGAGGGAGGGATGGATGCCCGGGAGCCTCCGGGTCTCACCCAGAAAATGGTGTTTCATTATATTCAACGCTGATTTTCTATGGAGACCCCTTTCGGCTCCCCGGAGCTACCTAACCAAAGATAAAGGAAAAGAGGGACTTACCCGGGAGGCGCCCGCCTCTCATCCCTTAACTCATAGTTGAGACAACTGGCTGCAATTTCCGACCCATGGCTAAACACGCCCGAGAAGTGCCAGGAACATTATCGAGGAACCGTGCGGCCAGGACCCTGTTCGCCCTCCAAAAGCCCTGTGCCCGAATGTCAGTCCACGCCATATTACTAAAAACAGCAGCCAAAGCCACAAACTTACGAACGTCGTGGACACGGGGATAGACCGCAGGCTGGCTGGACCGAATAATCCTGCGGACGACCTGGGAGACCTGCATCCTGGAACAGGGATGAAGGGAAACCGGGTCAACCCAAAGCGCGTCCCCTGTCACAGAGGCTGTGGCGGCAAGTAACGGCGAAGAGCTGCAACCGGACACAAAACATGCTGCACCCCAGGCCGAACCAACCAAGCATCAACAACCCAAGGACCCCTCCGAAAAACAGCAGTTTCTTCGCCAGAAATGAAAGAGACGGCTGCAAACGAACAAGACCGAAACCGAAAGACCAGGACCGAAAGAGCAAAACCTCTGTGCTGAAAGAAGCTCCCCGACCACCCGACCCCCAAAGCCAATGCCAACAAGAAAAGAGCCTTAGAAAAACAGTCCTGAACCGAAGGAGCCACTACAAACGAGTCGAAGAGAGAAGAGAGAGCACCTGGTCCAACGACCAGGATGGCGCATGAGGAGGCCGGAGGTGAAACAATGCCTGAAAAAGCTTGCGGAACGGAGCAGAAGTGACATCCACCACGAACGCAAGCTGAAGCGGCTCCGCCAGCGCTGCACAATATTCAAAAAGTAATTTTTCATTGTATAATTATTAATTTCTATGCAAAATGTAAGAAAAGCACAAAATAAGTGAATATTTATCGTTTCACTGGGTTGAGGCGCTCTGCAAGGTTGCATCTGGCACTTGTCAACACCGGGTGCTCGACTTTGCTGATGCTTCCTGTTTTATCACTTGTTTTTTGCTTCACTTTTTTCTCATCATCCACAGAGAGCTATTACATCCATATTTGCATCATACATGTAAAACCCAGACATTGTTTAAATCGTCACATGATAATGAACGCATTCCCCAAGTAACATTCATGACAATAACTGCATTCCTATTGTGAAATGATAGCAGGAGTTTTTTCATGGGGTCAAGATAAACTCCATTACATCCACAAAGACCTATTATATCCATATTTGCATCATGCGTGTAAAAACCCAGACAATAATTGCTTAAATCATCTTTCGATAATAAGAATATATAAAAAAAAAAGAGGCCATATGATCACTACGTACAAAATAGTAATGGAATAGATAAAATTTATAGAGAAGAATATCTGAGACCTGGAACTTCAAGAAAGAGAGGTCATAGATTTAAACTAACCAAACAAAGCTAGTGAAGAAATATTTGAAAATTAATTTTCACAAACAGAGTGGTAGACGGTTGGAACAAGTTAAATGGTAAGGTGGTGGAGGCCAAAACCGACAATAGTTTCAAAGCGTTATATGACAGAGTGTTGGGAAGACGGGACACCACGAACGTAGCTCTCATCCTGTATGAACAAATCCACAAGGGCCATGACGAGGATTCGAACCTTCGTCTGAGAGCATCCCACACCCTGCCTTAATCATCCTGTAACTACACTTAGGTAATTACTATGTATAATCCGTAAGTAAATCTGTATTTGTTTAATGAATAAACAGGAAGCTATGAAATATGGTAATGATTAATAATGTATAGTAATACTGTACCTCTTACACGAAAATCAACTTATAATGGCATAAATATTGTGCAGCTCAGATACAAATTTTAATATGACCGAGAGGGTTTGGTAGCCTGGTGTCAGCGAATTAATACACTGACTATTGTTCATAACATACATTATGAACAATAAAGTATAAAGGTTAGTATAAAATGTATAAAATATACATTTTATACTAACCTTGCTCTACCCGAACTTCAGTATCCAAACCAACCCAAATCGGGAAACTGGCATTTTCGGATACACAGCATTTGTAAGGCACGTACCCCTCTGCACATATATACAATTCACTCAAAACAAAGCTAAGCAATAATATAATGTTATCAAACTGCTTCCCATCAACTATACCTTTGTTAAATGTGACAAATGACCACGGCTTCCCAGCACTCTTGTGATGCCTGTAAAGATAAAGGTAAAAATTTAGTAACTGCACAATTACATGAGTTATTGTGATAATGGAAATAATTTGTGAACACCAGGAAATCACAATGGCATGATATATCTTTGTGAAAATCATTGGAGCAATCCGGGGATTCGAACCAGCGTTCTGGGACACCCCAGCTGTGTGCTTAATCCACTGTACCATAATACACTATAAATAATTTAATCTGGGATCTTAGTGAATCCATTCCACTAGGAGTCTTGAGGTACTGAACTGATACCAAATCAAGTTTTTACAAATTGCCTGTGTACACTTTGGTGTAGGTAATGGGGTTCTGCACCATATGGTTCCCATCAGATACACTAAGACAGCCTAGTATATTTGAAGGGAGTGTATCGTGGAGAACCTCATTACCTACACCAGAGTGAATGTGTGTAATTTGCAAAAAAACAGCGTTGAATGTAATGAAACGCCATTTTGTGGGTGGGCCCTGGAGGCTCCCTGGAACTTACCAGGCTGTATCTATGTATTAGACTGTGGCACCAGTCGATTGGAGTTCTTGCCTACCGGGAACCACGAGCCAGAAACTGGCTCCCTTTGAGATGCACGATAAGCAGCCCCTCCGAATAGACAGTACGTTTTAATACTAAATGTAATAAGTACAATCCGGACTACCGGCTTAGTACATAAATACACTTAATCGCCAGCATCGCACCAAAATATTGTGAATATTAGAGTTTACCTGAAAAGCTGCATAGAAAACCACGACCTAACCAAATCTTATTAGTGTAGGAGGACAAGCATTTTATTGCTTCTTAATTACAATTAGTACTTAACCTATAGCTATATTAATATTACAGTTTTATAAAACTAATAAAACAAAACTAAAATCTTTCAATAAATTATAGAATTACTCGGATATTTTCAAATTTTGTATAAAATCTCTATTGTTTAATAAAACTGAAAAAGAAATTCTTTATATTTAAAACTTGTGTATATAGAATCGAACATGTAAACTTCATCCTAAAATTATTAGTGTTTTAACAGAAAATGATGAGAATATTTGGGGATGTAACGGCACAATTAAGTGTACTTATGTACTATACTATGCATAAATGTATTTATGCTTAAATACATAGTGTATTTATGTACTATGGCTCCCCGGAGCTACCTAATCAAAGAAAAGTGATAAGATGGACTTACACGGGAGGCGGCCGCCAGTTGCGGCTCGACTCGAAGTCGAGCCTGGCTCCATACTGGCTCCAACCTGCGACCCAAAGCAACACATACAATACTAGAGCCAGGAACGTTGACTAAGTAATAGTCACTGTTCGACCTCCAAACTCCATGTGCAAGAATGTCAGCCCAAGACGTTACCAAAAATGGCAGCCAAAGCATCAAACTGATGAACGTCATGTTCACGAGGAAAGACCGCAGGCTGGCTGGACCGAATAATCCTGTGGACGACCTGGGAGACATGAGCCCTAAAACAGGGAACGAGGGAAACCGGGTCAACCCAAAGCGCATCCCTGGCCACAGAGGCCGTGGCGCAGGTAATGGCAAAGAGCAGCAACTGGACACAACACATGATGCACCGGCCCCCCGGCCTAACCAACCAAGCATCAACACGGAAGCACGAAAAGGTTGATGCCCCTCACGAGAAGCTGGGCGACAAACAGTGCAATCACTGTGCCGACCAGACGGCGCCGGCTCCGAAGGCAACTTCAGCTCAGAAGCTGGCACGAAAGGACACCTCGACCGGAGGAACTCTAAACCCTGGCACGACCCTTCCGAGAAGGCCAAGTACAACCACCCCAGAGAACCAACAAGTCCGACATGGGACGACAACTAGACGAAGCTGCCTGCAGACACCGCAAACAGCAACGGACAAAACGGTGAAGAAAATCTAGGAGCCAGGGCTCAGGCGGATTCTAAAGAGAAAGCGAGTAAAGTCTGTCGGCACGCGAGGCAAGAAGCAAAGATCAGAGACACTGCAGTGCGGCCGACAAGGCCAGCACACCAGACGAAGGCCCGACACTCAACGCCTCCACATCTTCCACAAGCCAGGTCGAAGACAGCACAAGATGGGAAAAGACGTGCAAGACCGAAGCTAAATGCCCACGTTTGGGCAAATCCTCAGCAACACAAAATGCTGAAAGGGTATGAACCTGCACATGTAGCTGTACAAGGCCAACATCACGAGGGAGCACAGGGGCGAACAAGCACGCATTAATGCGCTCAAATTCAACCCCCCCCCCAGGTAAACCTGCAAATCGGTAGAAATTTCTCGCTATTCGAGCGTGCTGGTCCGACAGTACCCATGCCACGCCCCCAACGAAAAGAATGGGCAGTCTGCCAGCCAGGAAGACTCCAGAACCTCCAAACGCACCCAATATGGAAAGAAGAACCGAACTGAAACGAGGATGGATCCATCACAGAGGCAGAATCCTGGTCTTGCAGGAGATATGCAGCAAATGTTGCCAAAGCACTTGATCTCCAGAAAGAATGAGCCGAGGAACCCAAGGGAGCTCGGAACTGAATCCAGGGAGGAGTCGACCCCAAATCATACTCATGCAAGGAAGGGAGGGTGGGGGGAGGGGGGGTAAGAAAACCCCTCCCCCTGCAACAAGCCCTGCAAAGAGGGCATTAACACCCAAGTGGGGTCAATGGGGGCCCTAGCCCCCCAGGTCAACTCCTCCCCAGCCCCGGATTACCCAACTTGGGACCCGGGACAGGGGGGTCCTCCATACCCTCTACCCCTGAACAAAATGCGTTTCTTGCCCGAAACGCATTGCGTAATAGTGGCTTTAGGCATTGTATGTACTAGCTCTATCTATATATCAATCCATTAATGTAACATCACTTGTATGTATATACCTTACCTGAATAAACATCTGAATCTGAATCTAAAAGGCAAAGTCCAGGGGAAAGGCTGAAAAGAAGGGGGGCCTGCCTCTGCAGGAGGAACCGGCTCTAATGCCTCTATCCCCAACCCAAACAGGGCAGCCCCCGAAGCTGCCAGAGTCCCATTACTGTACCAACTAAACCCTGCCCCGACTCCGAAACCCTCAGACGTTTCAGCAGGGTGAACAACAAGGAAAGGACCAGGGGCGCAGGCTGAACCAAAACTGAAGCGACTGACGCCCCAAGTCCGGGTCCCCATAACCACAACGGGGCAGCCTCGGATCATCCGGATAGGTAACCAACTTAACGTGTCACAGCAACCCAACCATAGCATGCAACGCTGCAGTCACCTGTATCCTAGTATCAATATCATCAGAATGGGTATACTGGAGAACAAGCAAGGAACAAGTCTCCCAAGACTTCGGATCAAAGGTGTCGGTGACCCAACAGGTGGCATGACGGAGGCAAAAGCGGTGACTGCCACCCCTGAGGCAAGGGCACAGCAACCTTCAAACCCGCACGAGGCGAGCAGGGACTCTGAAGACGCATCCATAGGTCCACCGAGCTTAAGTGCATGTAGCCCCGGTACACTTCAGGTACACCTAGCTACCATACCACGAAACAGCAGGGGGACACCACGTAGGTAAACATGCTTGTGACACTGAGGCCAGAGATGACGACTGCCCCGGACTGCAATAGCTAACTAACTGAAGTTGAGTATCCATCACAGAGGGTCCGGGATTCCATCCTTCCCCTCCCGAGGAAGCGGGGCGGAGATGGAGAGTGAGGCGATGGAGCGGTGTGACGTTTGTTTATTTCCTTGGGAATTGAGGGAGTTCTACCTCTCTGTTTGGCTTTCTGTTGCATTTTCTTACCATGTGGGGTCTGTTTTGTTATGCCTACCTTTCTGGGTGCCTAAACCCGGCCGATGGCAGATAAGGTTAACCCCCAACCACAGGGGGGTTTTCCAGGGCTATTGCTCCCTGCGCCTCTCCGAGGGGGCCATGTTCTGGGTAGTGGTCCCTGGTAGGCAGAACTCCATTGATTATTGCCCTGGTCTAAAGACTGCATATTAGCCCGATAGCTTCAGGGAGCCGAAGGGGCTCCCCACAGAAAACTTGTATTTTGCTATTATTGTAAATTTGAAATAATAAATAGTCCATGTCTTTCAGTATTACCAGTATCACTTAAATATTGTACAGTATACCATTTGCTAATTTCTTTAACAATTTACATATGTTAATTTAATTCTTTATGATGATTAAATGTTCACCACATTAAACATTTGAATAATTTAACAAAATTATTTCAAGTCACGCCCAAAATACTTTGCATACTAGAGGCTTTATTAAATATGCTTTTTATGTAATAGCTATTCAACCACTGTACTGTGTTTTCTGTATATTCTTTTAAGTCAAAATTATTATTATTATTATTATTATTATTATTATTATTATTATTATTTTAAATAAACACCGAGATGGGTAAATTTTTTCGTGCATACTGATAATTTAACATTTTAGTCCCTGTTTCAATGATATATTGTTCTTCTAGCTAATTCATTCCAATATTTAATTTTTTTTATTAATTAACATGATTCTGGTTTTCAAGGTTCCAGTATACTGTACTGGCAAAAATTTACATTGTACAATTACATTTTACGGAAATGATCATAACTTACCTAAAGTATATAACAGCGATAATGACAAGGATGAGGAGGACTACCAAGAGCAGCCACCAGAGGGCTGTTTCAGGTTCCCAGGGCTCGGCCACCACACCTTCTAGTAGTTTTAACCATTTGTAACTGCTCACACCTGCAACATTTAACATAAAAGTAAACCCAACATTGAATGTAATGAAACGTCTCTTTCTGGATGAGTTCCAGTGGCTTCCTGAAGCTATGTCACTGAGATTGCTTCATGCAAATTGGTCACACCAGATGCGTGAGTTCTGTTTGCCCTACCGGGGACCAGAGCTAAAACCTGGCCCCCATCACTAAGGTGCAGAGAGCAGGTGACAATTCACCACCACACCTGGAAAAATCCAGAAAATCAGCAAAGCTTTTTAGACAACTGGAGGGTTAACAAAGACTTGAAGCCTAGAAACCACCAAACAACTCTGCAATTGATTCACACAGAACAAGAGAAACGTTTAAAATTTGCGTGAAGCTTATAGTACCAATGCTACCACCAAGCAGCCAAGCTTTCACACACAGCCAATTTCCCAGATTAGTTCAAGAGCTGATGAACAGACAACCGACGAACCAACTAACTTGGTAGGGCGGGAGGGAAGGAGGGAAAATCCCCTGTGGCTTTCTGAAACTAACTAACCACATAGAACAAAAATTGAACTTACCAGGGAGGAGGAGAGGCGGCATGAACTAGGACGAAGAAGATAATCCAAGCCAGCAGACATTGCCCAAGGCAACACACAACCAACTGGGACCAGGAATATTAATCAAATACTAGGCCGCCAGAACACTGTTAGAATGCCAAAATTCCGAAGGCCAAATATCAACCGAGAACATGTTGGAGAAGACTGCAGCATAGTTGCGAACATTATAGGCCCGAGTGTAGACCGCAGGTTGGATAGATTTGATGACATTGTGGCTGACCTGGGTAATACGAGCCTTGGAACAGGGTACTAAAGAAAAAGGGTAAACCAACACCGCATCCACTGAGGTAGAACTGGTGGCCCACAGATAGTGGCCAAGAGCCACCACTGGACAGAGCAAGTGATTCACCCTCTGCCAGATGAACCAAGCACCAGTCACTAGCAGACCCCTCTCAAATCTAGCCGACTCATTCTTCACCAGAGAAGAAGATGGCTGCTAACAAATGAACCACCCACCAGGGCCAATACAGATTTAAAGACCAAAATGCAGTCAAGGGAAAAGGACAGCTCAGGACAAGCATAAGCTGGCTTGAGGTGAAACAAAAAGACGCACAAGTCAATTTGTGGAATTGCGCTGAAGAAGATTTGACGGCAAACACAAGCAACAACAGCTCCGCCAATGCGAATAATAAGATGCTAAATTAATAGGCATGAGATGCTGACCAAAAAACAACCTAGACAAAAGGGAAAAGACAGTCCTGACCAAAATTGAAGAAAAACAATAAAAAGACAGATAGTGGCGAAATCTCATGCTGCCACCATGAGGAAAGACACAGGTGGGATACCAACAAGCTAGCCTCCGACTCGCAATACAAATGGCGACAGAAAGGCATGGAAAACTCCAGACAAGTAGAGGAGAGGGCGAAAGTTAAACCAGCGAATTACATCACCTGGCTGTACTCCGGAAAGAGGCAGAGCTATGGAAAAGTTTAAAGATTAAGACAAAAGTTTAGAAGTGCCATAAAACAAGGCGTGGTTGGCCATCAATGAGACCACCCTTCCTGAATATGACTAAAGAATGGACAGAACCTGCAACAACAACTGAATCGGGGACAAAAAAGGTAAAATACACCTCCACCTTGACCAGTCAAGTTAAAAGACATCTACCACAAGAGCCCTTGTGATTTTGGAACAAAGCCAAGTAGGATGGAAGGCATTGGTTTAATACTGACACAAAGAGTATAACACGTCTGAAGTCTGAACCTGGGATGGAACTAATTGGGATTTCCACCAGTTCACCAGGAGCCCGAGTCTAGCAAGCTGGGAAAGAACCAGATCCCTGGCTGGCTGACACAAGGACCAACTGGGAGAACAAACCAGCCAGTCGTTGAGGTAACCCAACACACAAAACTCTAAAAGGTGCAGCCGGGCCACAATCACCCGTGCCATCACGGTAAACACATGGGGAGCCAGATTAAAATAAAAAGGGGGAGAACCTTGAAGCCTAATGCTCCACCACAAAACCTAACCAGTCCCTAAAACCAGTCCTGCAAACCCAGGCACACTTGAGCCAAGATGGTCATATGGAAGTTCGGATAGGGTATGAAGATGTTCAAACCCAAAAGTTTGAGGATGTACAATAAGTCCACCAAGCCTCTCTTTGGGAGAAAAAGACCGAAAACAATTGGGACACCCCATTAAAGGGACGAGGTCAACTCGAGCACTCCTGTGTCCAACCAATCTGCAATAACCAGATGCAGAGTCAGGGAGGACACCTGACCCAAAAGGGCAGACCACAAGAAAGAGGGGAGGGACTGATCAACTCTGCCAATGGCCAAAATAAGCAATCTAAAAGGCCTATAAATTGTCCCACCAGAAGCTGGCAAAAATAGTTAAAATGCCCTTTACCGTGGTATCAAAGGGGCGAAGCTTTCAGGCCCGTGGTGCTGTTCACCTCTGTACAAGTAAACCGAAATCTATTCTTACATATGTAACATGTAATTCCCGTTGCTTTGGTCTTTAAGGTTTTGTTGCAGTGACCACTAGTTAGTTTGTTTATGACCATTTTTGCCTTATTTGCTGTTGTTTGTCTATAATTTTGGAAGGGAGCTCCCCCCGCAGTTGCCAAGTGTGCTATGTTTGCGTCAATGCCAAGCTCTTGTAGTTGTTATCTAATCTTGAATTTGTGTAGTATTACAACATTCAATATGTAAGAGTAATTTGTCTGTTTTCTTTTTTAAAACACTACTTAGCTGCATACTTTAGATGTTGGCACCCTGGTGTCGTGCGGTTGGCTTCTCCCCTTGATTGGGGCACATGAAAAGGAGGATCAGTAACCAGGGCTAAAGTAGTCACAGGAGAGTCAGGAAGATGATATGGCCTAAAAAGTTCTCAAAGTTTCAAAAGGACAAATTTTCCTGGCTTGGAGGAAATATTAATCACATCCTCACCAATTCCATTCGAGATGCATAACATGCACAACACCACCACAATCATGGAAGGGAGCTGTATAAGCAGGTAGATTGTGATTCTATACAGTTATAAAAAAAGATTCACCTGTGAAATTAGGAACTTGAAGCAAATCTACACGGAAGTGGCCTTGTTCACCACCTTCTACCTCCAGACTGGGCTAAGGCAGATAAGAGCGAGAGTTGTCCTTGTTCGAGAGAGTGTGCCTAGCCAAATTATCTAGTCCTGGAACAAAGTACCAAGGATCCTTGTATATAGTAGGTATCTCAAGAGGCGTTAACAACTATGGACACACAAACCAATCTCGAGCAGAACACAATGGATCATTAGCTAGTTAAGTCATTAAATACATTAAAGGCCTGTCATACATACAAGAAGCATTCCAAATATTGTGTAGTACTGTTAACTATAGTGCATTACTAAGTACTGTACTACACAGATGAAAACTTGGCAATTAACTGAATCTGATCTCAAGTTTAGCTAACCTTGAGGCAGGGAACCTAAGGTTGGCAAATGTGCTGCCATTTGGTGGTCGAGGAAAGTGACCAGGTAGACTACTGGCAGTTCGTACGCGTGCTACTTATTGGCCCTTGTGATGCCAATCAATTAGGGTCAGGGAATGCTTGGAATATTTTTCAGTAATTTATGTAGTTAGTCTGGAATCAGGTTTTCTACAGTGCCTCTGTAGCCCCAGAATGACCTAACAGGAATGTTTAAAGAGGATCTCTGGTACACTGGTGTAGACCGTCACTCCTTCTCTATCATGAGCTTCTTCAATGTGACCTTCACTTATACTGACCAATGTAGTATCTAAGTGGAATATCTCAGCAATCTCATTATAATTCTTATCGTGAGTACAATGCATATATTAATTAGTATTAAGAATCTTATGAATGTAGAAATTAAAATTTGCTGCAGTAAGTTAATGTACACAAGTAACATAATAATATTCCCAAATATTTTGACTAAAAGGACACAAACCTAGTAGCTCCATTGTTGCCATTATTCCTATATAATATTCATGCTGGTACTCCAGTGGACAGTTGTAGTAGTTATTGTAGGTGCGGCCATCACCTATTTCAAACTTCATTTCACCCTAAAGACAACAACAAGTCAACATTATTAAACACAATGCAAATTATATGTTGTAGTTATATCATTTAATCTCTGTTTTTTATCAATTGACTTAATTAATAAACAAATGTGTTAGCCTTATGTGACATCAACATGCCTCAATTTAATATAATACAGTACTATACATGGAAGTTCCCTTTGTCGGAAAATCCGACACCATTTAATAATCATACAGATAATAGCTGTATTGTACCAACAAGTTACCCATAGAAAACGTAACTTGTAGTGGAATTACCGTCTAAAGAAAACGGGATATCATCACCACATACTATTATAGTTCACCAGCTATTCTGCTGGGAATTGTTCTTAAATACATTAGTCTTTGGACTTTACCATCATAAAACATCTTATATAAATTAACTTAATTATCAATATTAAAGTAGAGTAAATGTGACCCTTCTATCACTTTCTGAAATGTGGACAATGTAAGCCAGGCGTCAGAGAGTGAGGAAGGAGGGAGCCATTGTTGTGTCACCTCCGAGACGTGTGGAGCAAATTCGGCTCCTATCATTCTGGACAATGTCGGCCAGTAACGTCAATAGTATGGAGTGTTAAACAGCCATTGTATATACGAGACCAGAGGCTCACACGGGAGCAAATTCAGCTCCTGTTAAATTTACTTGGACGTAGTGTTATGGAAGCCAAAGGTGTACCATTGTCAACACGCTGTCTACAAATTCAAGTTAGCCTCAAACTAAAGGTCAAGACGAGGATGGAAGATTTGTGCACCAGTTACTGGGTGATATGGAAGCTACCTCAAAGAGGATAATTTGGTGTCTTCACCCTAGTTATACCTGGTGGACTAACCTGCTGTACTATAAGATAAGGAACCTCTTTAATGTATGTAGTTATTTCTGTAGTTTGATTGGCTGCATATATATATTAATTTAATAACCCCCCCCCCCTAATGTGTAGAGGATCGATTTGTGAGATTATGAGATTATTGCAGAAATACAGTCCACTTATCATTATACAAATTGCTATCGAAGTATATAAATTAACGTAAATATAAATTCATATAAATTAAATAAATATAAATCTCACAGGTCGGTTTCCACATTATTTGGACCTTCGGAACCGGAACATTCGGTCCTATGAACCCACATTTGGTCATCTTAGTACCGGATGAACCAGTTAACCAGTGGATTCATTAAATATACTAGTGCAGTGTTATTTAAACAAAGCCAGCAGTCAAGACGGCAGCGTAGCCTCGAGGGAGCTCAGGAGCCTCCCTCAGCCCAGTTCAGCTTCGTCAGCGGTTTCATGCACACCCACAGATATTTGGTGGCGTGTTATTTCGTGAAATGACAGCGCTAATATAGAAGCCAGCCAAATTAGTGACTGTGTCGCGAGATTGTTCACGGATTTCGTGGTGTTACATTTCGCGAGAGATTATCTACGAATTTTGTGGAGTTTATTTCGCGAGGTCACTAATAATATTTAATACTTCTTGATAATATTAGAAGTTTCATAGAGGCTAATTAAGAGGCTATTATCAATAATTGTGTATATTATTTCTCCAAATAGAGAATTATTTAATATATATTGCACTAGTGATCACAGTATAATATTTACTAATTGCCAACCCACATCAGGGTAGGATATTAACCATTGACTAGTTGAACTATTATCGTTCATCCTAGTCCCATTATTACCATAGTCAGTTGTACTATATTGAATAACCTAACACCATTAATGAATGGTGCAGACCCTATTTTGGGTGTAATTTTTATCAACTCGAGTTGAGTTGTATATATAATAATTTACTTATGATCATTTCACCTTTGAGTGATTAATTAGTGTCTCTACCATCCTAGGGTGATATAGAGGAGCTAACCTAAAGGTACTTCCAGTGACACTGGTTTATCACTCAAATCATTAGTGTGTATGATTGTATATATATAATGTGTATTAATTTTAAGTGCTAACCTCTAGTAGAGGTAGGATTATTGCCTAGTGAGTGCAGAATTTAACCATAGGCTACCATCAGTGCTTGTTCAGTATTATGAGCAGCCCAAATACAAGCCCCACAAGGCTTCACCAACTAGCCAGGATGGATAATGCAGGGAGAATGAAAAGAACCCTTGCAGGTCTTAAAGGCCACTTAACAAGACAGATCAAGAAATGTGAAGATTTGTCACAACAATCTCAAGTTGATTATGCTGACCTGGAAAGCTATTATCAAGCAGCTGCAGGTAAATTTGAGCAAATCAAATGTCAAATAGCAACATATGTGGCTGAACTTGCCAACACCAATTTATCAGAAACAGAAATAGACGACATTATGGTTGATCTTGCGAATTATGAAGATCACACTCAGGCCACGTTACAGCCTTATGTCAAATTAATTGCCCAGAACAAGGCAACAGCAACAACAACAACAGTTGCGTCTAATACGAGTCAAGCAGAAGCTCGACTCCCTCCAATTAATTTACCCACTTTCTCAGGAAAAGATGAGGAAGATTGGGATGAATTTTGGAACAAATTCGTTGACCTTGTAGACTCAAAACAATCTTTACCAAAGAGTAGTAAATTCTCTTATTTGCAAGGCCAATTATCAGGTGAGGCTAAAACAGTAGTATCCCATCTGAGATTAACTAATGACGGCTATGATCTGGCAGTAAAACTCCTCAAGGATAATTATGCTGATCCAGAAGTGAGAACATCACATTTAGTTCATGAGCTGTTGCATTTACCCCCACCGGAGGCTTCAGCTGATTCACTCCAAGTCTTCAAGCTGGAGGTAGAATCATTGATCAATGCCCTCAGCCTGACAGCAGATACAAACGGGGCTGAGTGGGTCTTGAAAATAATTGTCCAGGAGAAAATACCTAGGGACATATTGAGACAAATGAGTGCTCATTACAATAAAAGCATCTTATCCATGAATGAAATATCTGAAGGTTTAAAGTCAGTAGTTCATCAATTACGAACACATGACAAATTAAAACCACCAAGTAAACCCTCAGAAACCAATAATAGTAAACCACAGAGTACCAAAGGTACTCCAAATCAATCTAGACAATATAATTCAACACCAAAGTGGAACAGTAGCAGTGTGGGCGTATATGCAGTGGGACCCTCCAAGCCTATAGTTACTGTGTCACCCAAGAACGTGACACCAAAGGGTACTGGAAGCTATGGAACATGTTTGTTCTGCAATGAGAAACATTCAATGTACCACTGCTCTAATTTTCCTGATAGTGACGCCCGTGTTGAGCGACTCAAGGATTTGCAACATTGCACGAGGTGCCTCAGGAAACATAACATCAAGGACTGTGATACCCAATTACACACCTGTAATAGGTGTAACAAAGGTCACCACCATGCAGCATTGTGCAGATACACCAAAACAACGTCTCCAAACCCCAAGGTGGAAGATAGCATTCCCACCACAGTACAGTACTGCAAGGTGCAACCAACAAAGAGTGTCCAATCGGCAAAGTCTAAAGGTAATACGACTTTGCCTACTGCCCAAATTACCATCCTGAATAAGAGGGCCAAGGTCCATACCCGTGGGTTGTTTGACCAAGGATCCCAGAGAACATATATCACTAAAAAGTTGGCAGATGAATTACAATTAAGGCCTGTAGCCCAGATGTCATTCAACATCTCAGGGTTTGTAACAGATGCAGGACCTCAAGTCTACCAGGTGGTACAACCATCAGTACGCTTAGGCAGGTACGTCTGTCGAGTACAAGCCATTGTGGTGGACAAAATACCAGTAGACCTACAAGTTCAAGGTCTGAGAGCAACAGCCAAATTCCTGAGAAATAGAGGAATAAAATTGGCAGATAATATTAAGTCTGATCACCTCACCGACTTCGGTCTCCTTGTAGGGACAGACTATTGTCATCGATTCATCGGTAGCCCTACTAAATATCAGGGCATAACCATGTTAAACTCTGCAGGAGGTAAATTACTCTCAGGCCCAGTATCAAGCCTGAAGAGACCTATGCCTGCAGATAAACAATACCAGTAGAAATCTAAATTTGTCAGCTGATTATATTTCTCCAGCAGCATTATACTAAGGAGATTACAGCTGACTATAGTAACAGAGGTTGATGTTAGTATCATCATTTAAAGCTGAAGATGAGTTCATGAGGCCTCAGTGGCAAATCAGTGAACAGTAGCCTAAAACAGCTACAAGTCACTGCGACCAATGTCACTGAACCCACTGCAGTCTCAGAACCATACTTTACTTTAATGATGAGCTATTCAATCTTCTGAATCAATTAACTAAATTAAACCCCAATAAATCTGATGACTGATTTGATACATTTATTATTTAATCAAGATGTATTCCATGGGCCTCAGTGTTTATATATCAGTGACCAGTTACCTGAACAAACTTCAAGTTATATCTATGTCACTGATCTCACTGCAGTCCCTGAATCATACTTGACTGTAGTACTTGATCACATTCAGTCTTCTGGGTTAAATAATATGTAATAAGGCTTGAATATTAGCCTTTCAAGAGTTGACAGGGAAATGAAATCGCATTAGACTTCTAACCCCTGCAACTCTAGTACGGGACATCCGTCCTGTACGAACAGACGCACAAATGTGTGATTACTAACTACTAACATCAAATTAATCTAATAATCCAAAGGAGGAGTATCGGTGTTCGTCTGTTCTAAAGAGGACTTCGACCCGTGAGCAGCCCCCTGGGGAATTATGTCGGAAAATCCGACACCATTTAATAATCATACAGATAATAGCTGTATTGTACCAACAAGTTACCCATAGAAAACGTAACTTGTAGTGGAATTACCGTCTAAAGAAAACGGGATATCATCACCACATACTATTATAGTTCACCAGCTATTCTGCTGGGAATTGTTCTTAAATACATTAGTCTTTGGACTTTACCATCATAAAACATCTTATATAAATTAACTTAATTATCAATATTAAAGTAGAGTAAATGTGACCCTTCTATCACTTTCTGAAATGTGGACAATGTAAGCCAGGCGTCAGAGAGTGAGGAAGGAGGGAGCCATTGTTGTGTCACCTCCGAGACGTGTGGAGCAAATTCGGCTCCTATCATTCTGGACAATGTCGGCCAGTAACGTCAATAGTATGGAGTGTTAAACAGCCATTGTATATACGAGACCAGAGGCTCACACGGGAGCAAATTCAGCTCCTGTTAAATTTACTTGGACGTAGTGTTATGGAAGCCAAAGGTGTACCATTGTCAACACGCTGTCTACAAATTCAAGTTAGCCTCAAACTAAAGGTCAAGACGAGGATGGAAGATTTGTGCACCAGTTACTGGGTGATATGGAAGCTACCTCAAAGAGGATAATTTGGTGTCTTCACCCTAGTTATACCTGGTGGACTAACCTGCTGTACTATAAGATAAGGAACCTCTTTAATGTATGTAGTTATTTCTGTAGTTTGATTGGCTGCATATCTATATTAATTTAATAACCCCCCCCCCTAATGTGTAGAGGATCGATTTGTGAGATTATGAGATTATTGCAGAAATACAGTCCACTTATCATTATACAAATTGCTATCGAAGTATATAAATTAACGTAAATATAAATTCATATAAATTAAATAAATATAAATCTCACAGGTCGGTTTCCACACCCTTAACATTATATATTTAATTTAAATGTATTTATTCCATATAAATGAAAGGGAATCATCGCTGACTCAGACCTATAATTAAAAAACAAAAATTAGCATTGTTCAAATTTGTTACACCTGTGTAACGCACAAACTCTGGTCCTCAATATATTATTGTTAAATTATTATTATACACGAAGCCTCATACTGTGAGGTTAACTTACAAGTCATAATAACGTGGCTGAAGATGTGATGGGCAAACCACACATCAGATGTCATAATGGTCCAGGACGGACCGAAACGTCGTCGTTTCTCCATCTTCTGATGTGTGGTTTGGTCATCCTAACTTATAACTTGAAGCACAATAGAATAAATAAATATCTCTGACATTCCCAGAGTCTAAATGAAGCTATGCAAATATGCCATGAAAATAAAGAGATCTGAAATATAGAACTGCCTCGACTGTGAAATAAAGAATTGTGGAACATTCACGTTAAAATTAGTGTTAAAAGTACCAAATGCTTCACTGTGTATCCAACTGACATCGATTGTTCCCTGATAGGAAAAAGGATAGTTTCTTCAGGGGACAAGGATAGTTGCCTTAGTGTACAAGACATCAAATGATATAGACAGTTTATGTCTTATGTACCTCATTCACCAGACCAGCAATCCACAGAGACTGTTGACACTGTTGGTTCGGGTTTGTTTGACGGGTGTGGATACGTCTGGCGTCATGCCCATTTTGATCATCCTGCCATCTATTCATTTGAAGCAACTTCAATATATCTTCTGTTATATTTGTTGTGTTATGGGCTGCCTTTTGAACCACCACAAACACAGACCTGGACAGATAAGAAGACATGATGACATTACATCTTCACTTGCAGAGAAGAAGATAATGATTAAACTTTTAAAAGAACAGTCAACTGCAACTCTCAACTCTCTTATCTGCACATATTTCTCAAGGGATATTTATTACAAAACCAAAGATAACAGGAATTTTTGCTTCTCTTCATGAAAAGCACAATTTATATTTATACCATAAGAGAGTGTCTGCCTGTTGTTACGTAAAGGTGTTCGTCGTGTTATATCGTCGCATCGAGATAGGAGTTGTAATATTAAAGAGTAATGTTCCCACTTAAAATGTTGCAGGGAGAACGAGGATAGCGACCATGAAGCTTGTTAACGACCAGCGCGGCGTGGCTCGTCTGGTGGCGGGAATTCTGACGGCCAATCAGAGCCGCCGAACGAGACAATGAGCACCTGCAAAAACGGGAGCAAAGCAGTACTCTACTCACTCCCATCCCGTCGACATGGCGTCGTCATGTGTGTGGCCAGCCTTACCTCTACTTTGCGACAATGTGCTCCATTCTCTCCATCAATACGGACATTAGGAGCTTGCTGGAGGTCAATGCCGTATGTCTCATAAATCTACCGACTTCATGACACTGAGAATATTAAGCCGCCTAAGGAGTTAGATAAATTCTCCTGGCGATTAAGAGTGCAGTATATTAAACTGTCGTTGAGGTTTAGTTGTCAGATTGAGTTACGAGAACTCTCTGCTATGGAGTTTCCTCGGCCACCAGGGACGCCGAACGAGAAGGAACCTGCACGTGAAGCTGCACCAGGCCGATATCACGAGGAAGCATGGGGGGCAAACAAGCACACACACTGAGGTGCTCAAACTTGCCCCCCCCCAGGTAAACTTGAACGATCATGGTCAACTGACGCCACTCCAGTGTGCGGGTCCGACAGAACGCATACCACGACCCCAACGAAAAGAAAGGGCGGTCTGCCAGCCAGGAAGACTGCAGCATCTCGTAACACACCAAGTCAGGAAAAGAGCCAAACTAAAAAAAAAGAAGGATCCATTATAGAGTAATTTGGGTCTCACAGGAGGTAAGCGGCAAGGGCTTCCTGCACCTCCCTCGGCAAGATGCGGGAAACCGAAAATCTCCGGAAGGAGGGATGCGAGGAACCCAAGGGAACCCAGAGCTGACTCCGTGGAGGAGTCAAACTCGTACAGGGATGGTGGAAATAGGAAAACCCTCCCCCTGTAACAACAAGCCGCGTGCCGAGGGTACAAACACCCAAGATTGGTCAAACAGGGCCCAAGCCCCCAAAGTCAACTCCTCCCCAGCCCCAGGATCCTCCACGTCAGGACTTGGAGCTGAGCCATCCTCGAAACCCTCGGCCTCTGAAGAAAAGGCAGAGTCCACCGGAAAAGTAGGTACGAAGGGGGCCACTAGTGCGACCCAAAAGCCTTAGCAGGAGGAACAGGCTCGAATGCCTCCGCCGCCAGTCTGGAAGGGTTGGTCCCCGAATCCGCCCGAGTCTCACCACGAAGAAAACCCTGCCCTGATTCCAAAACCCTCACATTTGTGAGCCGGGAGCAGGGTCCGGGGGGGGGGGGCAGGAAATGAACGACAGCAGGGCAAGGACAAGGGGGTGCGGACGAAACCAAAGTCGAGGCGACTAACACCCCCAAGTCTGGGTCCCTATAACCAAAGCGGGGCAGTCGCGGGGTATCCGGAAAGTCAAGCAATATAATACAATACAACGCACCACCTCGTGCGTTGCAGCAATCTATACCGTGCATGCAACGCTAAAGCTGCCTGCACCCGAATATCAATATCAGTGAGCTGGGTTCATTGGAGCACAAACAAGGAACACCACTCACAGGACTCTGGATCAAAGGTGTCACTGACCCAACAGGTAACATGGAGGCATAGACGGTGAATGTCACCTTGAAACAAGGAGACAGAGCAACCTTCAAACTCGCAGGAAGCGAGGTGGGACTCAGGTCTCCTCCATCGGACCAATGAGCCCCCAATGGGGGTTTTCAGGGCCTTAGGCTGACTGCTAAGGGAAGCCGAGGCAAGGTACTGCTAGCCAGTTATCCCAGAGCTACCAAGCACCAAACTAAAACCTGAACCCCTGCAACGTGTGTAATCACGGGGACCTAGCGGAGTGCCACCAAAATCGCACAAGTGGTCCTACAGCCATATCCCCACCAGGCAAAACAAAAGAAAAACCTTGCAAAAGCACAACATCTCCAGGGGGAACAGAACGGGGACTATGCATATATCAGACAGCTGCACAGTACCTTGCGCCCAGCCAGCGACGATACTACCTCCTACCCAAGGTCAAACAGGAGTAAGAATAACCCCCAGCTGAACCCCAAAGGGAGGGGGGGGGGCAATCACCGAGCTGCAAAAGAACCACACGGAGGTATTCTCCCGAACGGCCTATGGAAGATAACCCTAAGCTGCAAGGGCAGTACTTACAGGGTACCTAGGAAGGTGGCCCTAGGTGCATGCATCCACAGTACTCTTGTGGCACTCTTTTCTAGGACACCGCTATGGCAGCACTGGTCAAAAGGATGGAGCCAGAGTCGATCGACCGCCACCATACACAACAGCCTCTGAACTGGGGTTGGGTTTGGGTAGTCGGCGTAAAGGGGTCTGGGACTCCCCCCTACTCCCTCCCTGGGAGGAGGGAGTTGTGCAGACAGCGGCGCGGTGACGTCTTGCTTGTTTGTTTGTTTTCGATTGAGGAATTCTGCTTGTTCGGCTTTCGGTTTGCAATTTTTAACCACCTGTAGTTTGTTTTGGAATTCCTACCTTTCTGGGTAGGAACCTACTGGTTCCCGGTAGGCCTAGAACTCCATCGATTGACTGTTGTCACGGTCTAATATATGTACACATCAGCCCGGTATAGCTCCCGGGAGCCAAAGGGGCTCTACACAGAAAAGTAAACATGATAAGCAACTATTTGAGCCATGTCATCCAGTTACTCCCAATCCTTCTCATTGTTTTCCTTTCTTCTGTTCAGAGCATATTCTGTCCTTATTGAGGGCATTACAGATAGTGGCCCTCAGGTAAATGAGAAAATTAGGTGTACTATGTTCCTAACAAGGTAAGAGGGCTGTTAGGTGAATACCTAGTTTGGTGGCTATGTGTAAACACATAGAAGTTCTTACATGGTTTTGACTTTAATATGAATGGATAATAGGCTGTAGTGACCATGAGCTTTCCCAAATCATTGAGGTCATTGTCCAAATATTAAAGCTACTTTGCCTTTCGTGGGCACTGCGGCCTATAGATTTTACCACCATCACCATACAAAACAAGTGAGAAAGGGGACTTACTTATTACCATCACCAGAAGTGATCAAGGAAGGCAAGCCGAGAGTGATCGTTGTGTTCGTCTTTTTTAGAATAGTTGGATCACCTGAAAACTCTGGCTCCATTGGCAATGTGCCCACTTCCTGTCTCAGCTTCTTCCCACAAAACATGGAATTGCAACAATATGTCTCAGCCTGGTAGCGCTTTCCTGGCTCCAGCTTCCCAAACTGTAAGAAAGGTATTAAAGCATATTAAGAATGCTTCTGTGAAAATAGTGCTCCGAGTGTAAAGAAATACCACTTTGTGCAGTTCCACAGTAGCTATCTGGATCTTAAGGCACTGGTATTGCAGTCTTCCAGTTGTACCAGGTCCCTGCAACTTTCATGGCCCACGGATAACTGCAACCTGAATCTAGTTTTCTCTCAGAAGCTTGAGAAACTGTTGCTTATTTTGTATATTTTCTTTGCATTGCATTTGTATTCACATTTATTTATGAACTTTGTCATGCTAAATAAGGTATACTGTAAGAGAGAGAGAGAGAGAGAGAGAGAGAGAGAGAGAGACCCTTGTGAAGTGTATAACTCAAAAGAGAGACATAGAAACAGCAGTGTTAAACGTTGAAAAACAGTCTGGAACTCTTGCATTTAGAATCCCCGACAGTACAATAATCAGTTCTGCATATGCACAGAGCATCGTCATAGCAGGAAAGCGTCATCCCCAGAACAGTGTAAACAGTAAAGAAAATACATGTTTAAAAAGTATATTCAGTGCTGGAAAATATATAGAAACAACAGTGTTAAATGTTGAAAAACAGCCGGAACTTTAGAAGACATACAAATGAACTATTTGGAGTATAAATAAGTGTGTACGAAACATTATTGGAACCGGGAGGTTGGACAGAGATGTGCTAGCGGTCTCCTTCACGAGGTGGTGTGAAGGGCCAGAAGTGCAGTCGTCACCTGTATGACGTGTGCCGGTCTCCTACAGTAACGATAAGTGCATTGTATCTTATGGGCTATAGTGGTGCTCCTTCTCTGTATTAGTAAGTGATAGGCAGTTTTAAAACTTAAGTTTGTTTATAGAACCCTGGGTGTAGCTGGTGTTTTGTGTTATTCGGATTGTCACTCAGATTTCTGTAACACGGGTCTATATCCCATCTACTTTGATCCCCATTTGTAAAGTGTCAGGACCTTGTATTGCTAAAACCCATGCTACCTTTGTAGTTACCAAGGGTATTGTGTTTAGGGTATTGTGACGACCTTAAGTCCCAGTTTGTGTTGAGCCAACAGTCAATTTACATGTAATGGTTATGTTTGCTGAAAAGTATCCCGTTTGATCTCATCACTCCTGTAACGAAACAGAGTACCCCATATCTATTCAGTGTAACTTGTGCTAACAACAGAAGAGGTATGATTGATCAAATTCTAGTGGGGGGAAAAGCTAACCCCCTCTTGTGACCACCATATTTTAAAATGGACTACGAATATAGAAACTCACATAAAGGTCAAAGATGATGAATTCCTAGATTACCAGCGAGGTGACTATCAAGGGATGAGAGAGGAACTGAAAACCATCTCCTGGAGGGAGCTGATGGGCGAACATGGCACAGAAGCATCATGGCAAAATTCTAAGAGGGTCATCAGGGAACTCGTTCATAAATATGTGCCGAAATAAACAGACAAGAAAGGGAGCTAGATGGATGGCACAGGTCGTAAAACGAGCATTGGTAACCAAGAGGAACCTCTGGAAAATTCATAAATTTCACAATAGACATTAATGATTATGAGTTATAAAAAAGGGCACTAAACTCGGACACTCAGAAAAATCAGATCAGCCAAAAGAAACTACAAAAGAAAACTTGCCCAAAACATAAAGAAAGATCCAAAATCATTCTATGCCTATATAAGAGGTAAAACCCAAAAACAAAGGACATATCCCTGGACCCTTAATAGATGAGACTAACCATGCAATAATTGATGATAAATGGGCAGCAAATAATCTAAATTATTATTTTACATCAGTATTCACACTTGAAAGGTTGAATCCCATCACCCACACTAATGTTTGAAGGAGGCGTGGAGAATGAATTTAGGGATATGCCCATAACATGCAAAATAACTAGAAAGAACATTGACAAACTAAAAGACTAAAAAATCCCAGGTGTGGATGGAATCCAATCCAAACTCTTAAAGGAACTGGCAGAAGAACTATGCCTACAACTGAAACTACTTTTCACAAAATCTATGGACCAAGGGGTAGTCCCTCTAAATAGGAAATATGCAAATGTTACCCCAATTTTCAAAATAAGCAGAAAGAGCTCAGCAGAAAACTACCGGCCGATCAGCTTGACATCACACATCTGCAAGCTCATGAAGAGAATCCTCAGAAAGAGAATCATTCACTTTCTTTCAGTGAACAACCTTGTACAATTGACACAACATGGGTTTGTTAAAAACACAACATGGGTTTGTTAAAAACACAACATGGGTTTGTTAAAAACAGATCCTGTTCACACTTTTGGAAACGGAAACCAGCTACTCAGACAAAGGCCTTCTGGTGGATTGACCAGAACATAGCACAGAACATAGCTTCCTTGGTAACATACATGGATTTTGCTAAAGCTTTTGATAAGGTACCTCATGAAAGATTGGCAAGGAAATTACAGGTCCATGGAATAAATGGTAAAATATTAGAATGGATAAAACAATGGTTGAGGGAAAGAAAACAAAGAATCATGCTAATGAAGAAATGTGATAAGTGGGGTGCCACAAGGGTCCATTTTGGGACCTACCCTTTTAGTCATATACATCAATATTGAAGCCTTACAGAAGCTTAAAGCCTTAAAGAGATCTACATGAACTCCACAAATGGTCAGAAAACTTGCAAATGCTTTTTAATATAGACAAATGCAAGACCATGCATGTGAGGCATAACAGCCCATGCCACGACTACCAAATTAATGGCATTACATTACAGCAGATTGATGAAGAAAAGGACCTTATAGTCAAAATCCACCACTCATTAAAATTTGCACAGGAGGTGGGTGCAGCAGTCAGAAAAGCTAACCAAACACTTGGGATAATCAAGCATACTTTTGACTATAAGGAAAAGAAGGTAATGGTTGAGCTGTATGAACAGAACAACAAGCTCTGGTGCATTTGGATTACTGTATTTAGGCATGGAGACCTCATTTTCAGAAGGACATAGCTGCTCTGGAGAAGGTGCAACAAAAGTCATTCCAGAACTAAATCATCTCCTATATCAGGAACGCTTGAAGGCCACAGGGCTAGCAACACTGCAAACCAAGCATGAGAGGGCGGATCTCATTGAAACTTTTAAAATACTGAACAGGTTAGAGGATGTTGATATGGATATCTTCTTCAGGTCAGATGTATCACAAACAAGGTGCAATGGTTTCAAGCTCAACAAGCCACAATGAAGGACTGAGAACAGGTGATGCTTTTTCACCCACAGGGTTATTAACCCATGGAACCACCTACCCGCCGAAGCTGTAACTGCCAAAACTATGTTGAGTTTTAAAATATACCTGGAAAAGATAATCAAGACAAATGGGGGGGGGGTTGGAAGGGACCTTCCAACAAGCCGCCGGCTTCCTGTCCTCGTCAAGGCCACTAGGGTTAGTGACCTTCAGGTAAATCAGGTGTATGTGCATAGTGTTATGAACCTCCATGTAGCCTAATGTGGTAGGCCTGCATTCGTGAGTTATTGTGCAGCTGACCAGATATGGAGTCAGATAAATGAATTAAACCAAGTAAACGTCAGTAATTATGACTGAGGAGAAGGAAAGCAGAGGGCAAGCATCTTAAGGAAACGAGGTAAGATAAGATGTCGACAGTATGCTACGTGACGTGATGGGTGGAGGTCTTAAGATCTTACTTGAGTTATGAGTGTCGACGGAGATGGACGTACGTCGTTGCCTGTTAACGAAGAAGGAAGTTTGTAGCTCGTGGTGAAGAACTGGTGATAAGCTACATGAACAACGGATGAGGAAGCTGTTGAAGGACGACGTGTAGCATTCTCTGTTGTCGTGGTAACGATATAGGGGCGGCCTGAAGCCTATTGGGTAGTCGTGCCTTTGTGAACCCTACTGTGTGTAAATCCTTTAAGTGGCTAAATTGGGCAAGTTTTCCTATGTGGCACCTGTTACGCGACTTCTCACGCTCAAGCCAGGACGGGTAGGAGCCGATAGTGGTTCGTCCAAGAGAAATTTGTGGACGACCAGGTATGGCGCCATATTTGATCGTCGTTGGACAGGTGTCGTCACGACACCCTTTTGCAGTAAGAACACAATATTCTGTCATGTATAACTTGTTATAGTTTGATCGTGTATCCAGCGATCTTATAGGACGTTTGTGAATGTAAGTCAGAAAGTTTATGAAAATGATGAGATGATATAATGAGTTTGAGACAATTTGATATTACGGAGACAGGATCGACATACACTCGCACAGACGAGTGCAGTGTACGAGTGTACGACTGAGGGGAGGGAGCAGCCCCCGGCGGTCAGAGACTTCCTGGATGGATTAGGCTCATCTCAGTGCAGTCGGTGCGTGTAGTAGAACATTGTAGGGTGAAATTTAGTTTATAAATATTATTTGTGTTTGATAGAATATGTTATTATGGTATGGTAATGGAATTACAGGTTTGTGTATGAGATAACTTCGTGTATGGAGAAATCTGTGTAGAGGAACTTCATGTATGGAGAAGTATGTGTAGAGGAACTTCATGTATATGATGGAACTTCAAGTAGCAGTGGTACTTGGCGAACGTGTTTCATCATTGTTCGAAGCAGCACTAATATTGAAGAGACTGCAAGAGTATCTCCTTAATTTGAAGACCCATTGGTTGATGGACCTAGTGGTGGACCTCAGAAAGTAAACAGAGAGTTATAGGGACATTATTATTGTTTGAGGGAGTGCATGAATTAATATGTTATGAATGACACAGTGTAACGTGATAACGTTAATATTTTCTTGTTTGAGTCAAATTATATGCAAGATGCCTAACCCAGACGACGAGGAGACAGGAGGTTGCTGGCGAAGATTAAGCAGCAGCCTAGTGTAAATTATTTGTTGGAGCACTGATATTATATAAGCGTGATGCTAGTTTGTTGGCTCTGATGATACTATGCTGTTATTTTTTATTCCTTGTATTTTTGTAATATATGTTTGTCTGTAGACAACTTGTTTTGCATAAAAAAGTGCGC